ATATAAACCTCAGATATGCAGATCAAGTAGATACGTAAAGAATTATGAGACAGAGAGGGAAGCAGACCAGGTCAGCAGTTTAAAGGTTAATAATATAAGCGATAACTCGTGACAATAACCAACCGGGAACATCCGTGTTTATGTCGATATTTTGATAATCATGAAGAGGAGGAGATGGGCACAGCAGCCGACACTTCTGACAGCTCATATCGAAATACCTCGCTAAGAGGGCGTGCTACCATCCCTGTCGGGTCAAACCGAGAGACGCACACTTATAATCGAGCGTCATTGGCACTTCTCGATTTTAGGATTCTAGATGTGAGGGGGGATGAAAAATAAATACACGCGCGAAAAAAGGTTGCTTGTGTGTATAAATGCAGAAAGCTATATATCTCTGACAAGCCTCAATGCCGGTGGATATGTAATACTACCTATTAGTAGCACCTGTCATCTGCCTGTCTGCGCATGGGGGAAGGCGGAATGAATGAGCGTCGTCAAGAGAAGGACGGTCGGTTATGCCCATGCCCTGTCGTTCGAAGGATTTACCTTACCTTACCTTACCTATCTTAAAATTTGCTCGTGCTCTTTTTTTTCGCCTATCGTTGACTTGCCTATATCGATGATAAGACTGAAACTAGAGTGACAGATAGCCCAGTGAATGGCATCTGAACGTCTAATTCGGGTTAAAACTACCTCTAACCTACGTTATTTTAGTCAATGTCGCAAGTCGCCTAGTTGTTACTTGTTATATACCACCCCCACCATTTGAATGTCTATCCCCTCCAGCTAGAAACCATCATGAGCTGAGATAGAATGTTATTCTACGCGGGAAGGCAGCCCCTTGTTTCGGAGCGCTCTCCTTGTGTTTAAAGAAAGGCAAGGGGTTTTTTTAAGCTGTTCCGGTATGAAAAAAAAAGGAAAAGAATCCAAGCATTTAAGGATATCACTATGTCGGGGGATATTTCAGGAGAGCACAGGGCCCCATGTGCCACGCGCGCATTGTCGGCATGATCAGATCCAACATCTTATCTTTATTCCCAAAAGGTTGTTAGCCTACCGTAAGGAATGCCTTCAACTACCGTTAGACGATTTTGTTTTTTTTTAAAAAAAAAACTCCTGGCGGACGGCGAAAATCATCCTAGACCAAGAGAAATAAATAGCGGACTTGGGAGGAGGGGAACCGATCTGTGGCGTCCCTAACATTTGCATGAACCCGTGCTAATAAAAGGAACGACAGAACTGAAACAGCTTATTTACTAGATGGTGGTGCTATGATAAGGCCTTCCATGTATGTATCAGCTTGAACTTCACGCGTGAGAAAAAACTAAACCCAAAACTAAAACTACAGGACCATAATTGACAAATACGGGTTAGAGCAACTCGAGTACAAATCATAGCTTATTGGCTAATGGCCACGCTGGTAGGGGAGAGGGTAAAGCACTTCAGACAAACGCACAACATTGGTGAATTCGGGCGCTTAATTCTTAAGAGAAATTCCCTTAATTGGAGATTCGTCAGTGTTAGAGTGTTTGGAAGGGGGGAGGCTACACCACAGCGGACATTGATAGGCGGGGGACCGCGGTAAACGCAATCGCAAGATTCGCAAGGTGGGTGGTAGTTTATGTCATGTAGGAGCAAGAAGAAGCTTGTCACGGGGGGAGACCAAATGTAACCCGGCACTGGGCCCTGACATTCGAAGCGTACAGAATAGGGTCATCCAAGATGGTCCATTGAACAAAATAACGTTGCGCGACGAGATCTTGTTACGCATACGCGTAGACGACGGAGCGTATACACTATTTCAACCCACCCGTCTAAATACCGAATTGACTTATAGTTTTGATGCTAGCGAACGACTTACCTATACTAGACATGCATGGGATAAAATAACAATAATAAACTGCTTGAACATAGGACTTCCGTTCTTACCTTCTTGTTCGGTACCTATTTGACCCATATGGGATTCTTCATACCCGATATAGGAGCCATAAGTTGTTGGACGTGAAACTTGGTGTTACAAACGATAACATTGTTTCGCCGGGTCTTCTCAACTCTTCGACCGATGTCTTGCGTAGATTGTGACACGCGACCTAATTGTGCTGCGCCAATGTTATTTGGCGCCGGTGACTTTGAACCAGACGCTGATTAATGTCTATATCTCGCTAACTTCCTTGGCTCGCGAGAGAGGCTGAAATGTTGTTGGGGGTGTTGTCGAAAAGGGCAAATCGAACGCTTTGTTATGTCTCATCGATCCTCTTAAGAAGTTCTGAGAAAGATGATCAAACTGGTTGAAAGGCCTCGTCCCTTGGCACATCTCTTCGTTGGGATATCATTGACTCTAGTGCTGTCATTAGGAGGTACATATCAAAATAGCCTAGGAGGGTAATAACATGAAGAATGGCGCCCGCGACCTAATTGCCTTTAGTTAAATGACTTACGCCAACTGATTTGCACAGTTCCAGTTCCAGAAACTGTCAAGTGGATCTGGGAAAAGTGACCTTGGTTGCGCGCGGACGTCAAAAAGGGTTATGGGGTGAGAAATCGCTTGGTTCGTGTCCAATCGTTCGACTAATGAAGCGTACTATGTAGAAAATAGGGAGAGGGCCGCGAATCTCAGTAACGTCCTGCGCGTAACATTGCACTACATGTTATACTATGTATATCCACGCAACTAATCGCGATCTTCTCTGTTAGTGACTCGGTTCTGTACTTCTATACTTGGACCAAACCATACCACGGATTTCGCATATTTCGCATGGTATTTCGCGGTTTAAGTGACAGTGCTTTAGTATTGTGCCTTAGGTATCATCATGTCGAGCGCACATCGTGCTTGATACGTACCTAACCTAACGGTTAACCCAATTAATCCATGTTGCTCATCTTGAAAGGCTTCTCGAAATGAACTTGGCCAGAGAAGAGAGCCCTGGTACGGTCAAAGTTGGGATATCGGGATCCACCTCTGGGGTCCCCATTTCAGGGTCAAGATCTAGTAAATTAAGCCATTAAGAAATCGGCCCAGGCGTCAGAGATTGATGATAGCCTGAAACAGACACCGTAGTTAAAAAGACGAAAAAGGATGGAAAAATGGAATGGTTATTCTGGAATGACTGCTCACCTTTAAATGCAATGGAGCCCAAGTTATTAGTATGTTGTAAATCTGAAGAATCGTATCCTGGCCATATCGAGTCCCTTTTTTCCTTATTTCGGTTGTAGGGTTGCCCTCTGATCGACAGAGCTCACAGACGGGGGGGGACATCCACACATCATCTTAGCAACTAGTAAGAGCCCACCCAACTAAAATTATCACATGGGGCAGACAAGCCGGGCATGTGTTAGGTACATATGTATGCTCTTCTGCAGTGGATCAGTACTGGCAGTGGATGTGGATGTTGCGTTTAGATAAACGTGCTTTAGTGTAGGGAAAAAGCCATGAGAAGCTAATGAATGTCGGTACTTCTTGGATGGACTTGGATAAGTACCTAACCAGCTTACTCCTGATATTGCGCTGGAGATCTGCTCTTCGCAATTCCACAATTCATCCGAATTAGGTATTACCCAATAAGAACCAATCTGCCAACCCTCCTCTCTACCATTGCCCAAAGACACCCAAGACGCCCTACCCAAGACAAGAGAGCTACCCACACCCTTGGCCCTATGACCGTGGGTTGCAGGATAATATGCAGCGAGCATGCCGCAATGAGTGCATCTTGCATATTGGCTTCATTGGATGGATGTGACGGATATTTGTGTTGGAGTGGTATCGACGCGATCACCACCGTCCTATCAACCGCAATGTCGTCCGATTCCAGAACCGAACCGAACTTGCTGACTGCCAGGTTCGGCAAGAGGTGTCTTGTCAGACTGTGTTAAACATGTATTAGGTAGGTCGTAATCGACTTGCTCCCCCGGGGTATTCAATAAGCAAGGCAAAAGGGGGTACCAATATGTGGTAGAGTAATGGTACCAGCCAGATATGTAGATAGATATTCATACGCGGACCACCCAGGAGAGGAGAAAATAAAAAAGAGAAAGCCAGTAATAATGAGTAGGATGTATGTAGTTAACTATTGTAATAAGTACCACTTGGCAACTTCGTACATGCATACGCTACATACCGTTGTCCCTGATGTCTCTCAATAGAAGGATAACCAGATCCCAATATTCCAAGGTCTCGAACGGAGCTATGATCATCAATAGCGAGTTGGACCATCTGGGTCTAACTGTACCAAATAGGTTTAGCAATCTAAGATAATAGCCCGTAGCTTGGAAGCTTTTCCTTTCGACGGGAAATATTTCCGGTCTGAATTTTCTATGTACCTACGTATAATGTTAGGAGGGCGCTGGCTGGCTTTGGTGGTCAAAACGACCTGTCCATTAAGATGACTGGGAGATGCTGGGAAAAAGTCTTGTCCCCCCTTCAGCCCCCCTGTCAATAGCCCATGACCACTAGTGCGTCGGTGCATATTAAACGACGTCGTAATTTCGTCGAACGAGCTAGACAGGGCCTTCATTTGAAAGAAGAAAAAAGAAAGAAAAAATTATGTTGCAGGTACAGAACCACAGCCGCAAGATTTGCAGATGACCCAGCAACAAGTGAGGTAAGGACCGGGAGTTTATGCATAATTGTAAATGAATGAATGAATACCTAGGTATATAAGCCTTATCTAAGTCCCTAAAGGCTAATATCCTAGTTGCCAAGTATCTTTGGTTATTATGTAGTCTGAAGTTAGTTTGTAATTTAGTCTGAGGTGATCGTAGCACTGCTACTGAGGTACTAATAATGATGATAATAAAACGTAGATGTTAGGTAGGATGATGATGAGGTTGGTGTGGATGCATTTCTAATAATGTTTAAACATTGGGCTAAAGAAAAGAGGAAAAAATAAAAAGAATGCGTTCCGTTCAAAATGGCGTAAGAGTTTATTCCGGATGGGAAATTGGAAATAAAATAAAATAGAATAAATAATATTGAATGACAAACGGTCTATCGTTATTACCTTACTCAAACTTTTTAGGCCACTCCTTTTTTATTATTTATTATTTTTTTTGGCTCTTGTCCCTTTTCTCCCTTGGTACAAGGGACATAGGGGACACAGGGGGATAACGGCGGCAACTGCTAATGCAGCATTGTGGGTCATCTGTTTTCGCTCAACACAACCCGCGACCCGCCTAGACCCACCTAGGTATCCCTGTCCGACGGTTACCGTGCACAACGCGTAAGGGAAATACTGTACAATACCTACCAGGTACTACCTAGGGTAGCCAAAAGTCTAAATCGTACCTACTCGTACCTACTCCGTTGTCTACCTGGTCTCTGCTACAGTAACAAATTCCACTGTACCTTGGTCACTAGGAAAGGAAGAAAAAAAAAAAAAGACTGTGCTCCCCTTCCCATGTCACTCTCTTTCCCATTAGTCACGAGACAATAAATAAAGCCCGGCAGAAGCAGCTGTGCTTCCATTTGACTTTTTTCCCTTCCCACCCTTCCTGTCGTACTCGACTTCAAATCCAAGTTTCCTTATTCTTCCCCTTCCACTTCCATTTCAAGCACCTCCAAAGAAGACTCCTCCGAGAGACATCGAAGTGTCATTTTATAATACTACTACTCTATACCAACAGAGTAGTTTCTTCATTATTTAATTTCCTCTTTCTAGTGATACCCAATTTTTCCTTTTAGACAATCAAAATGGCAGAGGAACAGAAGCCCGTCGAAGTCGCCGAGACTACCCCTGTCGTCGTCGAGCCCGTTGCTGAGGTGAAGCCTGTCGAAGACAAGCCTGCCGAGAGTGCGCCTGCTGCTGAGGCTACCACTGCTGAGGCACCCGCAGAGACCGCCGAGACTACTGAAGCTGCCGCTCCTGCTGAGGAGGCTAAGAAGGAGGAAGTGAAGCCTATTGAGGCCGGTACCTTGGAACACAAGGGTGCTCCTGCCAACTTCCCTAAGTACGTCGCCGACAGGACTGCGAATAATAAATTCTTGACTAACCACATACAGGAACTTAATCTACTCTAAGCAGCACTTCTGGTTTGGCGCCGACGCCATTCCCAAGGACAAGCTCGCCACATACCTCAAGAACGAGAAGGCTACTGAGGTTGCCCACCACGTTACTGCCTGGGCTGCTGAGACAGGAAAGGGTCTCTTCTTCTACGGCAAGGAGAGCGACAAGACCACCCCCCACGGTGCTATCCAACTGGTATGTACAATTGGGGAAGCATTCACTAATGCTTGATGCTAATTGATATCTAGGCTGAGGCTTCTGAGCCCGTCACTGAGGGTGCTACTAAGTTCTCTTTCACTGCCAAGGGCCACAAGCATGCCTTCAAGGCCCCCACTGCCGCTGAACGTGACAGCTGGGTTGAGCAATTGAAGCTTAAGATTGCCGAGGCCAAGGAGATTGCCGCCACTATCGCTGAGAGTGAAGCCTACAAGCAGACTATTGAGAGCCTAAAGCCCACCAAGGAGGTCCCCAAGGAGGAGAAGCCTGCCGAAGCCGAGCCTTCCAAGGAGGAAGCTAAGGAAGAGCCTAAGGAAGAAGACAAGAAGGAAGAGCCCAAGGAGGAGGACAAGAAGGAAGAAAAGAAGGAGGATGGCAAGGACTCCAAGCGCCGATCTGCCAGCCGAAAGCGTGCATCTATCTTCGGTAACCTCCTTGGCAAGAAGGAGGAGACCAAGAAGGAGACTGAAGATAAGCCCGCTGAGGACAAGCCCGCTGAGATCGCTGAGGATGCTGAGCCTGCTGCTGAGGCCGATGCCCCCGCAGTTGAGGTTCCCACTATCGAGACGCCAGCTGCTACAGAGGAAGTCAAGAAGGAGGAGCCCGCCAAGCCCACTCCTACCAAGCGTGCCAGGTATGTTTAGCATCCCTATTTTTCAATGCCATTTCTAACTTTGTATAGTCTTTTCGGTGGTCTTTCTTTCGGAAAGAAGAAGGTCGAGCCTGAGTCCGCTCCTGCAACTCCCGTTAAGGATGCCCCTGCCGATGCCCCTGTCGCTGAGACAGCACCTGTGATCCCTGCTGTCGAGACTACTGAGCCCCTCTCTACAGATGTTGCCTCTCCTGCTACTGCCCCCACTGAGACAACTGATGCTACTCCTGCCACCAACGGTGAGACCAAGGAGAAGGTTGAGAAGCGCAAGTCTTCCCTACCATTCGGCTTCGGCAAGAAGGACAAGGCTGCTTCTTCTGACGAGGAGGGTGAGAAAGTCAAGTCTCCCCCTTTCTTCTCTAAGCTCCGCCAGACCGTGAAGGGCAAGAAGACTGAGAAGCCTGTTGCCGAGGAGCCCAAGGCTGAAGACAGCAAACCCGCTGATGTTGCCGAGGAGGCTGAGCCCGCTAAGGAGGCCGAATCTGCCGCTGCCGCCCCTGTTGCTACTGAGGAGACTCCCGCGGAGAAGCCTGCTGAGTCTACCCCTGCTCCCGTCACCGCTGCCGCATAGAGTGCGCGCCGCTTTGGCCTAAGGGTCAACATTTAATAATGTTTTCGTAAAGTGTGTCCACGACACTGGGTTTGGTCGGGAACGGATCTGCATTTCAAGATACCCTACGAGACTGGTTTCTAACTGATACCCCCATCTGTTGTCGGCAATTGGCAGGCATACTCTCCGTTAGTCGGGACAGAGTGCACTGCATTGCCGCAAGGATGGCATCCATGATCTTTATACTGACGCTTTTTTGCATGTCTTGTCTCAATTTGCGAGGAGAACTGCTTTTGTTTTGACACATCTTTTCCTAATACTCAACTGATACCCAGTATACCCCCTGTCATTTGGTTGATGCGGATCAGAAAAATACCTGCGAAACAGCACACAAATGTTTCATCTTTTACAGTGACGGAGTGGGTGGAATATGTTGCGACGGAGCATACTTCGTAGGAAAGCATGCAACGTTCATCTTCCGGATTAGATGTCGCGCGTTGTGTTATACCACATAGGGTGTGCACTTGCCGGCTGAAGCATTCTCTTAATAGCTAATAGATACTCATGTGTTCAGTGTTGCTAGTCTTTTGTACCTTCGTGATTTGCACCATTGCATTGCCTTGATACAGGTACGTTAGAGGTAGTTAGCTCTCTTTACTCTGGCCTTTTTTTGACAATGAAACATTAGCATCAAACATCAACTAGTCGTTATCGTTCTTTAATCAAATTGACCTTGTTTTATTCATAATCCTACATAATCAAGTGAAAATATTTCTTTATTCTGTTAATCTTGAGTTCTTATATACCGACGTAACTCTAGCTTTAGCCAACAATGCTGAAAACAACTAACTGTAACCTCCAAGGTGATATAATGTTGGATATTTCGTTAAGTGAAGTACCAATCATTCTATGGATAAATCCCTCTTGTTCTGGGTTCCTATTTATTTTATTGAATAATTTGCGTTGCTTGTTCTCTAGTTGGCCCAAAGAACAACACCTGCGGGTTTTAGAGTTCATAGAGAAGGATAGGAAGAACTCCAAGACATATGAGCCATACTACTCTAGTGTAACTACCTAAACTACCTACCTAGTATATATTATTGTAACTCTTGTCATGATTCCTGTCCGGCCAAGTCCTAGGGGCAGTTAGTCGTATTGGCAAGACTTAGGCTACTGATCAATTCTGAGCTGTCATCAAGGAAAACCAAGTATTCTATCAGTATTATACATAGGTAGTTTGATAATAAGTCTTGACTTGGCATTGTTCCCTTGTCATAAGGTATCTGGGTTTGTTTAGTGGCTGCAATCTTTAAAACTTCGTACTTAGACATGCGTAGTACGAATCGTGCACATATTCACGTCTTACGACGCGCCTGCCAACGATCAAGAACATGATGCCCTAGGTGAAAACCAGATGTTCAGCAATATAGTCATGTACACTTCCCGAGACATGTCATTGTCTTTGTTGCCATCCAGACCATGAAATCACATCCTGAGAATCCTACACCATCAGCTTAGGAACCAACTTGGAGAAAGTTTGCAACAACATTAAATCGTCTTACTTGAGATATCACTCCAGTCATCTTCCTTTGACAGATGGACTTCTGCAATCGTTCACCTAGTAATAAAGTCATGTTGGAAGCAAGCTTCGCTACACGTGTAACTAATCACAACACACGTCTGTACAAGTACTTCTTAGGTTGTTCCAAGGTCCTGGGAACTTCTATATAAGCTCTTCCTGTCTTTCAACTTTACCACTCCCCTTTCCTTTACCATCATATTTTTTTACCGCTATAATAGCGACAACTACAGTTACACCTTAACCAAACCATAATAACTTTCACGCCTAACACAAGGCAAACCAACATGCAACGAACTGATAGTCCACAGTCGCTGGCAGACCGGATTAACCATCCAGGCCGGCGCAGAAGTTCCTGGGTCCCCGCTACTGTAAGGCAAGCAGAGTCCTACGATTCGATCCCCGCCATGGGGTTCGAAAGCGGCCACGCAAGGAGGCTGAATCTTCAGGAGCTCGGACAAGGAAATCCGTCCGTCCCCAGCCAGCCAACAATCCAACCACAACCACAGCAACAATATCGGCACAGCTTTGCTGAGCCCCAAACACTCAGCGGGGTTCCTGACCTCGCCGAATCCGGTGGGTACATTACCTCCCAGATAAGCAGACCCGAGGATCCAGAGAGATTCGCCAATTTCGGAAACGGGCGACCGGACACGGATCATCGGGACTCTACCCTGAGACCAGGTTTCCTGCGTATGTTGGAAACGCCAAGCAACCGTGCCGCCGAGCCCACCGTCGCCCCGCGCACGTCGGACAGACTCATCGTGGGGAACATGCCGTACGGGCCCTCGCAGGCCGGCGGCCCCTGGAATAGACAGTGGAAGCAGACGGACAATATTCCCGCCGTGTATTTCCCGCCTCTTGGCCGCGAGGCCTTCCTCGACGCTGCTGCGCACAGGTTCCAAGCTGCGCAAGCAGTTCCGGTTCCGGTTCCGTCGTCCTCCTCCTTTCCCGCCGTCTTCGTCCCGCCGGTCCGAGCCCCCTCGCTTAGCCAGAACACCTTTATTCCGGTTACGACAGCAAAAGCAACAGCAACAAGAAGGGCCGGCTCGTCTTCGGATAGCGGTTCAGGAACACCGGATCCCGAGGTTCTCGCCACACCTGCCGGAGGGCCCCAGCCTAGCGCGGCCAACGTCCATGCTCATGCTGGCGCTTCGCGGGGTGACGGGGTGCCGCGAGAGGTTGGGGAGCTATCGGATTGGTCCGAGTGGTTGAGCTCCGAGGCAGGCGACGGAAACCTCCAGACTGACGTCGTCGAAGGTAGTGGTGCTGGTGCTGGACTTAATGGCAGCGGGCATCGTACGCCTATTCTTATCACCGTCTCGGTATCGATCGACTTCGACAATAGCGACTTCGATGTTCGGGGCTACAACGTCACTACGAGACCACGAGGTAGGTAGGTCGGACAGGAATAAGGGGGGAGAATGGACTTGTTAAGAATAACTGATCGAGTTCTTCGGGAGGCGGAGAGTAGGATAACGGTATGCGATGATGACTGATGGATAAGGCAGTCAGTCAGTCATCTTTTCTGGTTCGGGGAGTTGATCTCCCCTATTGATACACCCACAAGATATCAACACATGTACTGAGAATATGGACAGTAGTAATATGTAACTATTTAATTATCGTCTCTTGTGGACTTCGTAGCGTAAGGAGAAGCGATAAACTCACTTTCGTACCTTGCTAACCTCGGGTGCTATTTATAATTATCAACGGCAAAACCTTCTCAGGAGGAACCCCCATTCCCGCTCCGGGACTGCCTCCATACTCCATACGTAGCGCTAAATCAAGACCTGGACTTCCTGTAGGAGCAATATGAGTACATTATCATTATCATTATTTGTATATCGTATCCTAGAATTATCGTAACTAATATTCCCCATCCGTCATCATCAGCTTTTAGCATTCTCGGCTCCAGAAAAGTATCAGCTCCATAGTAGGATCGTGGTCATGAAGCCTAGGCCGAGGTACATATACCCCTTCCTCATGCCCGCAACAGCCGACGCAGACGAAGGCGTCGACGTCCCCGTGACCTCTGAGGCGCTACCAGTCGTCGATATCGGCCTCGTCGTAGTCGTCGGCTTCGGGGTGTTCGTCGTAAACCCCCAAATGTCCGTCTCGGCCGGCGGCAGCGTGGTGATGTCCGGCGCCGGGAGCGTGATCTCCGTGGTCCCGAGGCCTTTGGTGTACGCCCAGAAGCAGGTGGGGGTCTCGGTGGGGATGTAGTCGCCGACGACGGTGCCGGCGCCGAAGCTGGCCGAGGTGTAGGTGACGAGGAACGGGACCGCGTTGTCGGTGTTGGTGCCCGCGACGCTGGCCAGCGGGGTCGGCGACCCTTCCGAGCACGTCGTGTACGCGGTGGGCAAGGGCAGCACGCCGCCCTGCTCGGGCCCGGAGTTCCCGCAGCAGATCATGTCGGACAGGGCTACGGAGTTGTTCCCGCCCTTGACGACGCCACGCCATATGTCCCAGGCCGTGTTCAGGATCTGCCCGTTGCAGCAGAACGTCTGGAAGTCGGACGCCTGCCACTCCGGCTTACCGTCTGCGCACTCGTACCGCGTGCCGTCGAAGAGCTCCACGCGCGTTATGCACCAGTCCTCGATGAGGTCCGTGGGGATCGCGGTCGTGATTGAGGAAGACATGATTGCTAGGTGGATGGTGTTTTTTTTTTTTTTCTACCTGTCAAGGATATTTTAATAACTCGACGAGTCGGTGGTAAGACTGAGCGAGGCGCACGGCGCGTGTATAGGGCGGATAAGTAGAAATAGTTAGTATATAAGTACACGATAGAAAAGCCAGGGTCTTGCTATCAAGCACTCGATGCCTGCTTGGCGCGACAAGGCACCATCGTCGAAAAAAAAAATATACATATCCACAGCGGCTTCTTAGCTTTCTGCTAATCTCGGTTCGCCACTCCAGGGCCCAGGCCAGCTACAATCGGCCCACGGTCCGGGGTAACGTGCCATCGTCGAGCGGAACCTTATTCCGCCTCCTCGAGATGCATGAATTCTTTTTTTTTTTCTTTTATCCTTCCTCCCTTCGCGAGATCACGATACTTTGGGCGACAGCAATCCCCGATCGTGGCTAGTAGAAGGGTGAAAGAGAAGTGGAATTAAGCAACGATCACCCTCTGTTCTAGATCACCAACCCCCTGCAGCGCGACGCGTGCAATCAGGGATAAATAGGGACCTGCATAAGCGATACCTACATAGCGAATCTGCGATGACTTCAGCTGTTGCTCTCGTCTTCGCGTCGCATATTTAGGTACCTAAGGTGCCTATATATATCTCACGATCCCCTTATTCCGTCAAGATCCAACAAATCTCGCGTCAGGTTCAAAATCTAATGTTTTTGATTAGTTCTCTCGTAGGAATTACTTGAGGACATTTCCCGAAAGCAAAAGACTCGTGTTAGGATTGCATATCTACGTTGCATCGGGCAGACCGACATGGCTTTAAGTCTTCATATGATTAGGCGCGGTAAGCTGTGGCTACGATCCTTCCAACGGATTCTCTGGTCGAGAGCTGATATTCTCGCCAGACCCATAGTAAACATCACGAGGAAAGACTTGGGTTTATATTGAATACGCGTCTGCTGCGGTTTGGATGGCAGAAGTCAGATACGTCCCGTCAACTCTCCAAGTATCTCATCAGGCCAGACATGACGCCCAGGCTAGTGGCAGGTATTTTATAGGGCCCGTCCGTTTTCTTTGTCTGTACGCATAGCCCGCGAAATCGAAGATACCTAGGCCTTGTGTCACTCTATGCCTTACAAGAGTACCTAAGGCGAGATAGGTGATGGCAAAGAGAGAGTGCAGGTTGGAAATGAGTCTCCCTCTCGATCCTATGTTGATACTGCATCAGTAATTGTTCTCCATTACATTAGCGACGTACTTCATTCCATGGCTTTGTAGCTTAGTTATATGAAATCTAGAACGTTGGAATTAACTCAACTATACTCAAGCTGGTATCATGCGCGAATCGGACCACGACGGGCTTACGGCTTTTCATCAAGTAAGGTTGGTATTTATATCAGTACCCAGCTACTGTGTGTTCGAGTATAGTCGCTCTTAAACAGTGTTTCTCGCAGCCATCTTTCTTACAATCTTTCTCTACGAAAGCTAATATAGTAAGGAGTATATAAAAGTAGTGTCCACTTACAGTTTACCACAGTTGATGTCATGAAAGACTTCTGAGTTGGTCTAACATGCACACATACTATAGTCCTATAATAGCAATGTCAGTAGTAGTTAAAATATATTACCTAGGTAGGTAGCAATTGTATCTTTAATTCCACCCCCATATTTGCATGAAGTAACAATTCCAATAGGAGATACCTCCTCCTAGCATCCCCCAAGTTACCTACCTATTCAACCCTGTGGTGGCTACAGCAAAAAGATAAAACCAAACCCGTGCATTTGTCGTCATCGCTGATAACGGCAAGTATCTCAATGAATATCCCGCGACGCCATATAAATTGACCGACTACCCGAAGGGTGTCTGAGCGTCATTGTGGGATGTACAAGTGATGCGTTGGCGGAAAGTCATCATTATCGTGTTATGTACACGTAGAACGAGCACCCCATTCACCTCGAAGTACGTATGGGGTCACAAGGAATGCAGTCGGCATAGTACAAGATCTGGGGGAGCGTGGAAAATACATCCATAGTACTAATAGCAAGCTACTGCGGTGGTAATTGGACACGGCTCTTGACTTGCGCACTCGTATATCTGGAGAAAGCCCCGGAGCCCGTGAAAGTTAGCTGCTGGGCTTCTTGGACAAGCTTGGAGTCGAGATACATGCTCTACTTCAAGCTCATGTATACCTAATGCTAGGGATATATAGGGGGTATAGGGGTAAGAATACTACTTTAGAAATTTTATATAATTTGTATAACGATCTGCTCTCCGGGCAACCTCACCTATGATTCGTGACCCATTAACCTGGAAACACGAGGACCGAATTATGACGAGCTTCGATATCGTGATGATATTGGTGACCACCTTTGTGATGGGTAGATTTTCAGCTGACATTGCTGACATCGAGGCAGTGTGATAAGCAAAACGATACTCGCGGCAGTTAGGAGAAGTAGGCAGGCGGACTCTTGCAATTAGGATGGATTACGGAATTATGACTCTCTATGAGCAAATCATGTTAAAACAGAAATTCAGTGCCACCCTGTGTTATTCGTATTCCATTAACGCCATGGCCATGCAACCCCAAACCAGCTTTCGCGGAGGCCTCCCCACTTGTGATTAATGGTTGCGCTGAGAGTACTGTAGCAACCCGGCAGCGCGTTCTATCCAGCCCAACTATCCAATAAAGCCCGAGAGGCATCTAAAATTAGATTTAGAATGGTAGAGATTGTGAATCATTGTCGTCCTCTTTCGTGTATTATGGAGTATGAAAACCTTTTTTTTTTCTGACGCGGGAACAGGAAATGCTAGAGTAGAGGTGATATGCGGCATCTATTCCTCTTCATCGTGTTCGACGAGAGTGATCATGGGCTTGTCACCCAAAAGCCTCTTGCCCTTGAGGTTCGTGATTTCAATCATGAATAGGTAACCCATGACATTGGCCCCTGAGAGCTCCACGAGTTCGCCAGCGGCAGCAGCAGTTCCTCCTGATTTAACCAGTCAGTTGAGAGAACAGGCCGAAACGGCGGAATAAACAAGAAAGTCACGCTGAAACATAACCCTAAACGACGTTTCTTTGTTGCTGAGGCAGTAGACTTCTTCCTGACTAGTACTTTTATACCACCTAGTGGAAATACTTATTACCAGTGCAATTGGGGTTATTTTGTAGCCTCGAGTTTGACGTCCGCCTTTGCCACCGCTTATTACGGGTAAAGCTTTGGGCATGATGGGCAAAATCAAGGCTAGTGAGACAGCCGACTCTTGTAATATAGCACTTGGGAGGCCCAAGCAACCTAGCAGAAAGCACGAGTGACGGATAGACGCAAAGCACTCAACTTACCAGTAGCAATGATGTCGTCGACTATTAAACAATGCTGGCCAGGCTTGATGGCATCGGTTTGCACCTGGAACTCGTCTGATCCATATTCTTTCTTGTATTCAACCGTTCTGCATGCGCCTGGCATCTTGCCCTTCTTTCGGACCGGGACGAATGGGCGGTTGAGCCTCAATGCAAGTGTAGGCCCAAAGAGGAAACCGCGTGCTTCCAGACCCACTATGACATCTGGTATCTGGTCGCCGTATCGTTCTCGTATCAGGAGGACAAGTACTTCGAGGAGGGATTCAAAGGCCACAGGGTTCTGGAATATCGGGAGAATGTCGATGAACTTAATACCGGGGATGGGGAAGTCGGGTACGAATCTCAAGGCGTCGATGACCAGTTTCTTAGCAGTCTCCAGCTTCTCCAGCTCGTGCGCAAACAGGGAGCTTAGCGATTGACCGGCGAGTTCGGTGGTACCGGCGGCGGAGGAGGCGGGCTCTCGTCGCGAGGCATCGGGTGCAGCAGTTGGAGTGGTGCTTGGCTGATCTGTGTTGGCTGCCACGGGATCAACGAGGATGTTGGAGGTGGCTGGACCGCTCATGCTGAGGAAGAGGAAAGAAAGAGAGGAAGAGAAGACGGCGAGGAGTGAAGGGGTAGGGTAGGCGATATGTGTACCTAGGGGGAAGAGAAGATAATGCGTGAAAATTTTTTGGGGGTGTGGCACAGTGGAAGGGCCAGGAGGGGAGTCGAAAGACGAATGGGATAGCGAATAGGATAGGCAGACAAGGCAAAGCCAAGTCAGACAAACAGGCAAAGAGACAAGGCCGCCTCAGAAGTGGCCGCGGAGGAATGCGCAGGGGGGGCGGGATGGGGATGGGAATAGAGGTGTAAGGTAGCCTGCTTGCCGCAACCCGGGTGGTAGATAATAATAACAACAACAATAATAATATAATAACTGCTATCCTTGGTTAGAAAGGTCTACGAGAGAAAAGATTTGTGAGATTGTGAGATGTACAATGCGTACCTAGGTATGTATCGTATGTATCGTACGTATCGTATGTACAGTACAGGGGGGGACAAGTAAGAAAAAGGAGGGAAAAAATGGTAACGAAAGACGTGCGACTGTCGTTGGATAAGGAAGAACGGAAACCTAAGACAACGAGTTTTCTAAGAGGTTAGAGAGAGGAAGTGGAGTGATTGACAGAGTGGGATGAAGCTGAGGTAAATCATAATTTTTTTTTTCCCTTCTCTCCTGGAAACTTTTTTTTTCTCTTTGGAGGGGTAAACCCTTTTTTAGTTTCTGTTATCTAGTTTTGTTGTACCGGGGTACTAATATCTACTTTGCATCTGATATGAATAAGGTTATTTTTTGGGGTACCTGAGAGAGTATAGTAACAACGAAAGACCCCACCGAATACTTAGCTGAGTCCCTTAAGGCAAGTCTAAAGCATCGTAACTTAAAACATAGCCCACTTACCACAATGGGTAAGCTATAGCTGGAAGGGCAAGGAACAAGGAAAGGGCAGGATAAAGACAGGAAAAGACAGGATACATGCAGCTAAGTTCCTAGTTACCATCTACATAAGATGTACAAATCAAATAAACCACGTATCGGTGAGATGAGATAAACACACACACACACACACAAATAAATGAATAAGTAAATAACAGGTACCTTGAATAAGTGAAACAACTTATTCTAAAGAGATTCAATTAATTACCATGGAGGTACACATAACCAGGTACCTTAGGTACATCTCTCCATCCATCTATCTTATCCATGGATCCCGTCGTATACTTATAGTGTATACATACCTCCTACTAGGTAGGTAGGTATGTTCGACTCCTGTACCTCCAATTAATATCTAAATAACAAATAGCGAACCCCTCTGCCCCTCTCGTGGTGTGTGTTGTGTGTACATAGTAGCAGGTGGGCACTGGGCAGTGCAAGGGTTTTTTGTTGTAGTTTTCTCGGTGCTCACCATTGGAAAACCCCACTGCGTCCTGATGCCACCATACCGAACGGAGAGACTAGGAAGGCTAGGAGGACTAGAACCAGGTATGCAGACTTGGATGCGTTATCAGGGATCATCTCTTCTACTGGTGGCTTGTTCCGGCCGACGCCGTACCTGTATTAGCACCAGCCTCTACTTCGTACATAATCTTTGATCCATGGGAGAGCCGTAAATGGTAACTTGTCGGAGAGTCGGTAAGGGCTCGGTTTTGCACATACTGGATATTCCCTTCCGCGGCGGAGCTTACTCAAATGCGAAATTGTTACAGGAAGATATGCGTATCGAAATAGGAAGAGATTCCTTCTAGAAGCATTGCCACCCTACAAATTCATCCGAAGGAATGGGATGATCAGGGGAAATTGCTGGATTGCTACAGGATACTGGTTCGGATCACCTCAATTATCGGTCGAACGGTATATAAAAATGTTGCTACCTTCCTAAACAATTCGTTCGGTCTTTGAATACCTAGGAAGGTTTACCGCAGGAGGGAATATAGACAGTCGTATAATTGAGAGACTACCTAATGGAAATATCAGATGTCAAAAAAGGGGGAAGAGGTATTATATGATAGAAAAGCTCTTTACGAGCAATAACAATTTATTACACGTATATTACCTGCGTATACTCATATGCCTTGCGCGTCGCATGCTGCATGCTGCATGTCGCAAGTGGTAGAGTCGCAAGCTAACCTGGCGTATATCATATCTATCATAACTTTCTCACTTCTCATCTCTCATTAACCAGATAATGAATAGATAATACCACGTACCTAGGTAGGCATGTAGACGCATATGTAAGTTAGGTAGTATCATACAGGTACGGTACGAATTATATATACTACCTTATACCAGGTATTCGTAATATATTTTTGTTATGTGATATATCACTATTCGAAATAGTGGAAAGAAGTAAGATAATGTGGAGATACGTAATACGCAGTTGAAAGAGGGAAGAAAAAAAAAAAAAAAAAAAAAAAAAAGAAACTAGAGATTTAATTTAGCAATTGCTCTCTGCCCCCGCCTTGAAATTAATTAAGGAATATTTGGGAAATCGCGATTTACTTAGTCGTTTCTGTCCTACCCCACAGACTTTACTTCCTGTCAAGACTTTTTTTTTTCTTTCGTTTTTTTCTTTACTCTCCATAATCAGCAAAGCCTTTTCGAAATCGGGCACTGACTCATCGCCTGCTTCCTCGTATACCCGGTCTTTTTCATCACTTGTCCCTCATAATCTTCTGGTAGGTACCGACTTGCATCCGCTTCCAATCTTTAGCAGTTCACCCAATCCTGGCCTGGTCCCATTTCAATTGTGGTCTTGGGCTCTTGGCTTACTGCCCGGAATAGCAGTCTAAAAGAAGAACCGTCACATAAAATCTCCTAATCGCCACTTTCAGCTGCCCTGCGTGGAACAATTATGAGGTGATTGAGGTGATCATTGACTAACAAGGTGCTATTGATGCTGTCGGAAATCGTCTCGTCGACTGCATCAGTGCGTCTACATACTACTATGTATATCACATCCCTACATCCCTATACCATATGCCATACACCATACATTACCTAGGTACCAGGTAGGTAGGTACAGTACAATACATACTTCATACCCTGTATCGTGTACCTAAGCGGCCCGGGATCCAGTTAGAATCTTTTTCGCCCGGTAATGCAGTCGTTCTCTCCAAGTGCCATTAGAACCAATCAACCCAACCCAACCCAACCCATACGAGGTTGGGTATGTGGTATTGTACAATACGCTTCCATGTCAACTCAACAAGACTCGTATCCCGCTCATGGAAACATGGGGCTCAAATGAAGGCCGCGTAGCGCCTCAATTGCCCTCCATCCACTTTCAGTCAAATTGGTCCCCTTCGATCGAGGTGTCACAACTACTCCGGCTCCTGCAACCACATCTCTTGCATATTCAGCAACCGAGACAGGGGATCCAGATGCTGTGACCAACAGGTATTTGATGTTGTAACCACACCATGGTTCACTCACATGTTCGAACTCCAGCTACAGATGTGCGCCTAGATGCCTACGACCCTTTCGTCGACTCTAGAGATCAATCTGGTTCCATGCCCCGGGAGGGATACCCCGATGATTGGACGCCCAGCGAGCCAGCAATGGTGTCTCCTAGCTGGGTCCTATTCTTAAAACGCATAAGGTTTTGGGTCGATACAGCCTCGCACATATTAACCCGCCGGTTTCGCCGAATCAACGTTGAAATTCCTACCGCAAAACCTACACTAAATTGAGCTGTCAGGTTTATCTTGTTGCTTTTGCGTAAGCCGGCCGTATTCGTGCCTGGATTAGGCCGCCATCTAGTTTAAAATATTAATAATAAGTAAGCACCGGCTCATGTTTCTGAGAGGACATTCTGATAACGGCAAGTCCCTGCAAAAGCTTCTGAAGCCGCAAGCTATTCGGCTCATCCCTAATCGAAGCATTTGCTTTGACTCATCTCGATGGCCAAGTCTAGCCTCTTATGGAAACCCGGCATGTGGAAGAGACAACACGGCCGGTGTACCGTTCTGTGATACCATAGCACACCCTCCGAGGTTCTAGTTGGGCCTTCAGTATCCGCGTGGGGTTATTCAACCCTTGTATGTATACTACCAACATGCGAGTGTATGGTACTTGCATTGGTTTCACTTCAACGCTTTCCACATACACTAACCTAGTATGCACGGGAGCTCTCTATTTTCTCAGCGTTTCAACACATCTGGTTCCCCGCATGTTGAGCTATTTTGACCGAGTTTCCTATTCTTCTATTCGTATGCGTGCTATATGCCGGGAAGTTAAACCGTGACGTTGGTGGTTGCATGTACTCACCGCCAATCTCTCAGGTTAGTTGAGCAAGTAGATGGCCTTGTCTACTACCGTAGTCGATCCATAAAGCGGCCTTGGCCAAGTCGGAAACTGGGAATAGAAGAGTTCCATACGAGCATCTTGAAACTGTCAGGACTACCAGGGTAAGCTGAAAAATTGAGTGTTGGCGACTACAGCCTCGTCGAATGGCGACGTCGCTCTTGGTGGATCTGCAAATCTGTCGATCAGTTCAAACGATAGATCACGTCCATTCATCAGCCCTGGGGTGTCAGGGTGTTCTAGGCTTTCACGCAAGCGTAAAGATAGGATGGATGGATGGATGCATCCTTTCGGTAAATAGCTTTATGTTCTGTTCGACCTGCAGCAGTTGCATCTCCGTCCCGGGAAATCGATCTTGCTGCTGGCAAGGTCTTGGTATTTAACAAACGCCACCCGCTTGTATCGGATGGGTGTACGGCATTTATGCAATCGGCCGATTCAGACCTGCGTTAATATGGTCTTATTTTCCACCTGCTGGAGCCGTGCGCTCAATGGCCGACCCGATATTAGGGCAGAAAATCGGATAGGTTTAAGGCGACAGGATGCTTTTTCGGATGTGGCCATGAAGCAAAATATCAACCACATTAGGTACGCACACACAATTCCAGAGAACCTCTTATACAACTCTTTCGTATTTGCCGACTGCTCCAATATACTAGAGTGCCTATACAGCACTATATAGCTACAAACTTCGCCAAACACCTGCGCGCTCGTCCGGCTGCGTGCTACTCCGCAATGGCCCGCGCGATGTTTTCGGCGTCCTCAATACTTGCACACCGGATATGCAGTATTTCGTGCATTATATACCTATCCACCAATCAATCACTCCACCCCAATGCAGAGATATAGTCTCTGTAAATGCTAGACGTGGACAACCCTTTAGCAGGCTATTCTTTTTTTTTCCTGCTTCGCGGATGTGCGCATTTTGCTTTAGCTCTCTCATCTACATCGTAGGCGTAAAAAGACAATGTAAGTTGAGAAATTTTTATGCACCTTCAATTTCGCTCCACGTCACAACTACACCATCTCCGCGCAAGCCACAACCATAATCAAGGATATAACGAGATTTGATTAGCAATCGGTCAGGGGGAATATCTAATTCTACAGTATTTATTCTAAAAAGGGTATCATCTACTCCGCCTTGGGCACCTTTGCATGCTAATAGAATGCAGAATGGGAAAAGAAACGACTGACTGAAAGCAAGCAAACAAGAAACCCTCTACAGTTCGGAACATTATCCGCGGCATCTGGCAACTTAGGAACCCTGTCCAGTTGTCGACCGACCATTATCAATTAGTTTCCTAGTTTTCCCTCCCCTTATTAGTTGCCCTTTTCTCCGCGATAAGGTTCGATCCGCTTGCTTTTTGGTCCAGTTCGAAGCGCAACGCAGCCCAGCCCAGCGCACAAGTATTTGCTGGCCACGCTTAACCGAGCTGCAAAAAGCTATGTTGGGGGCCAACCAATTCCACTCCCTCCACACCAACTGTACGAAGAAGGTTCTTCATCTTCCTCCTCTACCTATCGCCACCACTATCCCGTCACCGAAATTGTAACCGAATAATCGAAAATATCATGCTCTGCAGTACGTGCAGCATGACGGCCACGCTCGTAGGTAGCAGCTCCGGCCACACTGCCAAGTCCATCTTCCCCTCGACGTTAGCGTTAACCCCGAAGATCCACCGAATCAAGCCCCTGAGCATGATCCCGGCGGCCAGCTCGCAGGCCCAGGTGATCATGGACGCGTAGAAGGTGAGCTCGAAATCGTACAGCTCGTCGGGGTCGTCGAACGCGAAGTACGGGTACACGTCCTTATTGGCCCCGAAGTGTAGCACCAGGATGCTCCCCAGGAACGTGAGCATGCTCACGTTCTCGGCCAGGAACCGGATGAAGACGTTCCTGGTGCAGATCTTTTGGTAGGAGCCGTACGACTGGCCGGTTAGGCCTAGCATCGACAGTATGCGATGGTAAGTCTGCGTCATGGTGAGAGGGGTGAGGATGATGAGAAAACCGGAGGACAGCGCCTGGAGCCAGATGAACTGCGACGGCGAGCGGAGGCGCGCATATAGGGCGCGAACGTAAGTTTGGTAGGTTAACATGAAATATCTGTTTGAACGTGTGAGCGGAAAACCCTGGACATCAAAACAAGGCGCATCTCGACGAAATCTTACAGTTTAAAGATCCAGCTCAGGGGATAGCTTCCTACGCGCTCCCCTTCGCTGCCACCAAGAATCCAACCCGTAAGCGCATCTAGTAAGTGGACCGTGACGACCCAGCTGTAAACGTAGACGATCGTCTCGAAACTGTTATGCGGTAGCGTCCGTAGATAGATCTCGGCGTACGCCTCTCCTATCAGGTACGCTAGTAAACCGACGAAAAGTGCGAGGCAAAACCAGACAAACCGCACAAAGCTGGCAGGTAACCAGTTACGTCTCCGCATGAACTCCGGTATGCTCGGTCGCGGCCGGTCCGTAACCCGCAGCCCGTCGTCCGGATCGAACGCGCTACCCCTAATTCCCCGGCGCCGGTTGTACTCTCGAGTAGCCGACAACGTGTCCGACTTCCCGGTCCACCACGAACTGGTAAATATGCGCTGGGTCTCGCTCAGCGAGTGTCTAAGGCCCAGGTGGCGCTCGTGCGTCATGAGGATGCAGAAGGCGATAGCGACGGGCATCGCCATGATGACGAAGGTCCAACTAACCCAGGCGGTATTGTGGACCGTCAGGAAGCGCGCCTCGGGGATCAGGTATATGGGAATGGGGGCGGCGATGGAGAGGACGGCTATGAGGGAGATGGTTACGGGGAAGCCGAGGGCCGAGGGCCACCAGTTGAGGGAGTAGAGGTTGAATACTTTGGTTATCCAGATGAGGCCCGTCAGGTTGTAGAAGCCGTAGTAGACGAACAGGAAGAACCAGAAGTTGACTTGTACCCGCGCCTCGCCGTGGCCGGGAACTCGGTGCTTGGAGGAGGGATCAAGTGTTTCGGATTGGTGATGGTGGTGATGAGGTCTCGGGTGGTTGCGGGAGTCGGGCGCGAAGGGGTATTGCGGGAATGGGATCGCGCACCATGCTAACGCCTAGATAGATAGCACAATACATTTGTTAGCCTATACATAACCACAATACTTAATCCGGACTCTTGTGACTCTTGTGACTATATCGCCCACGACTCAAAAAGCAGCAGCAGCAGCAGCGTAACAACGGAAGAGACAAAAACACGAATCGCAAACTAACCAAAGCAGCAGGCAAAAAGACCAGGACGCCCCAGCGACTCCACCAACTCTCAACGACACGCTTAACGGCCGTCTGTCGCGGCGCCACCCACAAGTCCCTAACGCTCCGACGACAGACCCGGGCGAACCGACGCATGCTCTTCTTCACCTTGGCGCCGCATCGCCGGATATCATTGCCATTACCACTGTCATTACTATCGTCATCATCATCGTCACCATCATTATCACCATCATTATCATCGTCGGATACGTCCTCAGCCGCGACAAGCAGGGCGCCGTATCCGACGTGTACGCTACCGCTACCGCGACCGCGACCGCCGGGAGACGACAACAGGCCGATATGCTGTTGGTACTGCTGGTGGTGTTGCGGCTGCTGGGGCACGGCGCGGAAGCGGCCCAGGAGCGGGGAGGAGTCGGATGCGTGCTGCCGGGCGGCGCGGCCGGTCTCGGTGCCGGGGATGAAGGGGAAGAAAGCGGGCATCGAGGTTCGGAAGAGACGGAGACGGAGACAGAGACAGAGGGGGAGATTGCGCGTGTGTGCGTATGGGTGTAGGTGGGTGGGTAAGTGGGTGATTTGGTTCGCTGATCGGGGTTGCTGATTTGCGTTGGCGTCGGGTGCTGTGTATACTCTTACCCTATTCGTCTGTTCTTTTTTTTTTTTTTTTTTTCTCACCGTCTTATTTTCTCTGTCCTCGGTTCTTTGTTCTTTTGCCTTTTTTTTTCCTACTACCCCTCCTTGGCTTAGTCCAACCCTCCCTCTCTCTCTCTTCGCTATCTCTTACCACCACACCTTACTACCTGCACCCCTGGATCTACGTGGCGTTTCTTAGTGCTCGCGTGGGTTTTCTTCTTCTTCTTGTTTCTTTTAATTTAATTCCTGTCCTACTTAGCGGTGTGTATTACGCTGGTGGCGGCGGATTTGGAATTGGTGTTTGAGAAAAAGAAGAAAAAGAAGATGGTGATGGTGATGAGGCGGCGGCGGCGGCGGCGCACATGGCGGGGAGGGTAGATTATGTCTAGCCACCTAAGTTCGGTTGAGAGGTAGGAAGAGAATGGACAGAACGACAGAAAGAGCGGGTAAGGTTTCGTGGGTAAGCTATTACATCACAAAGATGGACGATAAAAGCGGAGGGTACCGGAATAATAGATGATGTCGGTTTGCTGAGGCGGTCCGCTCTTTCGTTTATTGAACCTCGAAGAAGGTAGGAGGATCCCGATTATGTGAGCTAAAGGGGTCGAGTGTTTCGATGAGCGGGAGATTAGGAAGAGAGATAAAAATAAAAAAATAAAAAAATAAAAAAGCTATTGCTCTATGGAGGAGGTGAGGTAAGGTGAAGTGAGGTGAGGTGAGGTTTGTGGTCGTCTTTCGGGGCTCGTGATCTCGGCACGCTGCAGGCCCGGATTATGCGTCCGCCGCGTGGTTGGTTACCTTTACTGTTGCCTTGCCTTGCCTTGCCTTGCCTTGCCTTGCCTTGCCTTGCCTTGCCTTGCCTTGCTTTAACTTTACTACCGCAACCGCAACCGTAACCGCAATCGTGACCGCATCCCGTGCCTTTCCCCCTACCCTACGACCATAGAGAAACCGGTATGTGTTGCACCCCGGCACGTGTAGTAGAAGCGAACCGTGGAAGGGAGGGGATGAGGGTGACTAGACGATGGGCGGCGCAGGTTGTTTTGTAACGGACCTTACATACCTTACATACCATATACAACATACTATAGGAGGAGAAGGATGTGGTTTTGCTGGTTGCTGCAAGGAGGGAGCGCGTGACGATGACGCTACAGTTTATTATAGTAGGTACGTAGGTACTTAACGTATTGTTCATTTATTTATGTTACATGCAACTTGGAAGTTAGGTACCTAGTTAGGTACATACTATGTAGTACAAGAGGTAGCACAGGAAGACAAAAAGAATGGGTCCGTCCCCTGGTCGCTTCCTGTCTGGCCTGCCTAGGAGAGACTTGTGGGGCCGTTCTTTGGAGATTGACCTTCCAAAATTCATTCCCAAATTCGATATGCGGCCTGCCGACTTTTATGCTGCCATCTTACATACACATCGGTATTCATGCCTCGTTAGTAAGTTGACTTACATATGTGTAGTAAAACCTGATTTGAAGATGGCTTCTTGGTTGCTTTTTTTTTCTCGAGATAAAGACCAAGGAAATTATATAGTATACTCCGGTCTTGTTATAGCGTTTTCTCTAAGTCCTGGTAGCGAGGTAGCATTTATGAGGTACCTAACGGATGGGGATTGCTTCGTTGCTACCTTACCTTGCCTTACCTAATAAGTGGCCTTGGTCTGGACCACACAGCAACTATATGTTGGTTCACAGTGAACTATCTATACGACTGTAGCGTAAGCGTAACTGTGAGCGTGAAGAGATACCACTTCTGTGGGTGTTATCGTGTTTTATATTATGCCGACGTGGCAGATGGAGGGCATGAAGGATTCATAGAAGTTAATGATAGTATTCGGTGAAGAAGAAGTTGTCGGTAAGAAATCCATGTTAGAATCTTCAAGAGCGCTCTTAGGCTTCCACTGCTTTACACCCTCGGTTGAAAGAGAAAAGTGCTGTTGGTATAACTTCTGGAGAGCTATAGTTACCTGTCTTAGTATTTTCTAGTTTGGGGGCCTTGTCTTCTTCTCCGCCGAACAGAATGCCTTAAACACTATCCTCGAATCTTACAGACTATACGAAACGCAGAATATCAGCCCAACAGCGTTCTTGGACCTCATGAGACCCGACAATTTAGGAAAGTAAATCGTGAGACGCCCTTCGAAAGAACCGCCTGAGCCACGAACAGCTGACTATAATATCGAGTTACAACTAGATCTGTGTTGACTCATCGTTTTTAAAACCATGTTGGGTGTACAGGTTGCCTTTTTAGATATTCTGTTGGTTACCAGTTTGCAAAAGCCTCATATCGACGTTATATGATTCATTTTTTATTGATCTTTATTAATCGTGACAAATAGTTGTAGTTGGTCAACCCCGTTACCGACTATGTCTTCGTACGGCAAAGCAGTTATAGCTTGAGGCATTGCAAATCCTAGATAAGCTATAAGATGGGTTGTCGTGTTACACAAGCGTGTTAGACGAGCCTTGCTGTAATCGAGGGGATAGACCATATGCCCACGTGTAACCGAGTATAACGTGATCGAGACTGATGAGGGGACCAATGAGAAGAGCGTATCTATCAAGTTAATAAAATGTTAGCTATTAGTTACAGATTTATATAAAAGTGTGCGTGTGACAGTGCTTCTCTGAATATTCATTGGTCGAATTTTACATGTAGGTCAGCAGAAAAGCCTTCGCTAGGTAGATAACTAAGTGACCCCTGACCGTGATAGCCACAATAAGCTTGAGATTAGCAACACATCTCTCTCCTCGTACCATATTTTTGCTTTTTCAAAAAAGAAAAGAAATCGACTCTTCAGTGAACTTCGGTGGCTTTAACAAGTGATCCCGAAGGTGGACCGAAGGAATCACATGTCGAGACATGTCTTTCCCGGCTTACCAGGTCCTTTCCAGCCTTGGGCTATTATTAAAATCGATCTTCCAATCGTGCTTACTTACCCATGGGGTGACGAATATAAGAAAATCATGGTGCTTATGCCTGCCATATGTGGAGCAAGGACGAAAGATAAGCCCTCCGCCTAGAGCGGAATTGAAACTGACGCCTAGGCGGAATCTACGACCCCATTTTCTGTGCATATCGGACCGTATGCACGCGAGCTGTCATGTCCACCATGTTAGTAGTCTTCTGAAATAAGCATTCTTCACATGGCCAAATGATGAAAACGGGAGAGCGGATAAAGAATGAAGAGGTAGAAGAATTATTAAGTTTATTATAGCACTGATAGCGTCCAAATAGGCTTGCCCTAGATGAAAGGAGGTATGACAGAAGGACATCACACACGCAGGCTGCTTGGTGCTTCGGCCTGCTAGACATTAGGATGGATTATTGGGGTATAGTATCTCCCGAAAACATCCCGAAAACAAAAATAACGCGAATCGCCGAGGGGTCGATAGATCTTGAACCGGTAGGTTGGAACGTAGGGCTGAGTGGGGCTCCACAAACAGGCGTCGATGAGTTTGTGTCATCCTGGAACAGATGCGGCGTATGCTGAGCCCGCCGATACGGGATGTGAGATCTTCAACCGGTAACTTGGGATCGCATACGCCTCCCGCGTTCTCCACTTGTTCTGCAGCCCTACTGAGTTGGACCCCAGGGGGTAAGGTTACTTAATAGCCTATCTCACGTCCAACTCTTAAGAGACATGGCATGCCATTCAAGAACAAGCATTCACACCCTGTAGGTGACAATCTAGACCAAGAGATACAGGGTTCATATGCCTCCACTTGGCATTCATCGTTCGTTCAGAGTTCGGGGTCGTTTGATAACTTGATTCGTGAGGCACGGGTTGTTTAGTTGGTAGAATTATGTTACACAGAGGCGCTATGTGTCATTAAAATAGACGAATTAGTCGTCGAACCCCTCCTCCACGACGGCCTCATCTTCTTCGTATACCTCCGAGTCGCCATCTTCAGTGGCATTGGACGTCGGTGATTCGAGCGGCTCTTCTAGTCTTGTTTGCGGGCTTTGATGAATGCTATCGTCATCATCATCGTCATCTGGAGGGGTGGGGGCGGATTTATCATCATCGACAAACCCTACGTGCTTCGTGACTGGTGCTGATGGTTTTGGTTGTACTTCTAGGACATCACCATTCCATGGTTTGCATTCCTTTACTAGGCCACCACACCGTAGACATGTCCAGCCTTCACCCTCTTCGCGCTCTAGCCTAGTTGCTATGCATACAAAGCAATATATGCAACCGCACGGGATGGTCTCGTATGGATTCGTGATATCCGTCTGCGCCGAGCCTATCACTCCACTGGAGGCAGCTGCAGCTAGTACTTCGGTCTCTGAGGTGGCCGAGGTTTGATCCTGGTAACAGATAGCACATGTACGCTCAGGTAGAAAGGCATAGTCTCCACGCTTCTCGTTGACGTCGCCCTCCTTGCTGACATTGATAATCTCTTTGGTCTTCCTCCACGTGCGACTGAGCCACCTACGCCATCTGTTGATCCCTACTAACGGCAGGACGAAGAGTAGGAACTCGGTAAATGCATGCCATACCAGTTGCCGGTTGAGGTACTCAACAGAAACTTCGCGGCTGACTTGACTAGTGGGTGGAGCAAGACGCATTCTTAGTACCCTGTCTAGGATCGTCCGGTACCTCCCATGCAAGAGAAACGCAAGGAACGATGCAAAGGCAGCTGCCGAGTGGAGAGTAGTGATCCGAGATGTGAGGTTGCCAAGCCGCCGCACCATCGGCGAGGGTTGATCATATCCATTGTCTTGGTCCAGTAGCCAATTCTCCCATTTTGTCCAACCATATTTCCCGCCTACAGTAATAAGGCCGTAGAGGCTCTTCTGCCATTTACTAGGAGGGGTTAAGACTGGCCCATCGCGTCTCGCGTCCGTATATTTGAGATTCTGAAGAGCCGCACCATAGGTCGCATTATGATCCCAGACCGTAAGTTTGAACAGTATTGCACGAAGAACGAGTAGGATTTCAGCTGACCAGTCGTCCTTCAGTGTACCCCCAAAGTATTTAAGCGCTTCTCCAACTTGGTCGCGTAATTGGCCTACGAGGTCCTCGTCTAGTAGTTCGGCATCGACTTGACCGACTCGAAATGCAGGTCTCGTGCCTTCACGCGACGAGATTACTTCCCATATTGATAACGACGAAGTCCCAACTCGATTTAGGGGGTACGGTAGACGCGTTACTTCTGACCAGGCTCGCGATGCGTGGCGGGTAGCGTCGAGTCGAGCTTGAGCTTCTCGTTCACGAGCTTGTCGGCGCGCAGCCAACCGCTGCTGGGCTTGGGCGAAATTGGTAGAGTTCATCTGAACAGCCACATGGTAGTACGATACTCACAATTTGATAATGCTTACTTTGTGGATATAAATTTCGTCATTAATGGCCTGACTTCGAACGCATGTATGTGTTGTTGTTATTGCTGTTATTATTATTATTGTTGTTGTCGTTGTTGCTGTCGTCGTAACCTCCGGAGCTGTGCAACTTTTCTGTAACGTTTAATGAGGCTTAGAGAATGGCGGGAAGTTTAGAACGATTCTGGGGAAGTAGTAGCGGTAGCCGGTAGTGACGTTGTGGACTACTTTTAGTGTACCCTTTCGGGGTACGCCGAGGTTAGGAACAGCGCGAATTACCTAGGTACCTAGGTACCTTACCTTTCGGTAAAGCTTGGCTTGCATCTGATCCTCGGTACAACCCTGACCAGGTAGCAAGGTACCTTAGGTACATATATCTTGCTCTCTTAGCTCATAATGACTTATACCAAGCATTGCGTAATGCATAACTGATTAATAATGTTTATAATCGGGCGTAATTCAATCCTTTTGTCGAACGGGTTTAATCACTATCTGCAATTAGTATTTCCTATAGTAGTAGTGGCTATAAGCAGTATAGACCAGCACCTATCTCCGAGCCTGCATAGGTATTTTATTACCTACCTACTTAGGTATATTCTAAACAACTCATAATTTACCTAATCTATCTAGTTACGCGGGATAAGAGCTTAGGATATATCTAGGTTAGGTACTTAGGTACCTGTAACTGTAGGTAAGACTTACATACATATACTCAACATGCCAACTACTATGTATGTGATATATGTGCCCATTGTATTAGTTGTTGATGATATTACTCTTTGCACCGTTGGCAAGGTCAATTAATAGAAGTAATATATGCTGCTTATTACCTTAGGTAGAGGTGATTAACTACCTAAGCTACCTCAGTATATGTTGTTATTGAGATAGTCGTATCACTCCGATTGATAGATTAGATCGCAATCTCTTTCACATTTTAGAAGGATATAAATATTCGTCATGCGATAGAACTATGGGACGGAACGGTTCCCTGCCCAAGCTGAAACTAAAAGTATGCTCGCGGCACAGACTTAGCCGCGAGATTCCTTCAGAATACTAGGTATACTAGGAATCCTAACTACTAGGAGCTATAGCTGGGACATACCTACCTATTTATCTCTAGATAGGTACTATTATGTAGGTTAAGATAGTATACACTCTAGAGGGGTCAAAATACAAGATATCTCGGAGTTAAACTTTATGATAAGTCGTGGCTAGGTACAAAGTAGATGTAATACATAATTTGGTAACTCTACATTGAAGTTGGAGAAGCTCAAACCTGCGAGATAGTGTAGTAACCTTAGCCTTACGGTAGAAGCTAAAATACGTATATTGTATTGTACAATACTATGTAGTGGGCTCTACAGGCCAGTGGAGGCTCATTTCAAGGCGGGGCCTCTTGAGCTAATCTGGTCTACTACATATGTGAGTCGACGTTACTTTGATCCCTCTGAGGTCCAGCCTCCAGGGGGTATGTACTATATATGATGGGGTGTACGTATGTATGCGTGTATGTGTATGTTGGAATTATGTAAGTCCCTTGTGTTCCTACATGGTTTCTGTATCGCGGGGTTTGATTTTCGAAGGAAGACCCTAGGTTAGTGGATGTTTGTTTTGGCTTTTTTTGGGTCCCGGAATCGCGAGCAAGCCACGAAGGTCCGTGATAGTACATAGTAGTAGTGTACATGCTAGTAGCCACACCCTGAATATATCCTATTGGTCAAAAACAAATCATACACCATACCGGGAGTGGTAAAAGTTTGGGTTTGTTGATTTTTGAATGGCGTGTAATGGTAGCCCAAGACTCTACTAATTCCAGTAGTTACAGGAATTTTCGGTGGATAGGATTTGATGTTGGTGATATTCTTATTCAAGGTCAATTAAACTTACATGCCTCGCATGGTGAAGACTACGATGATGGCTATGCTGCATTGTTACCACTAAGGTAAACGGACGTGCAGAGTTGAAAGCGCGCAGACCGCCCCCAATTGGCGCTAGAACATCTCATCCTGCGACGTTGAGTGGATGAGCAAAGCCACGATCGCATAAGTAGAAAGACAGGGAAGAGAGAAGACGAACAGAGAAGACAGGGGGGAGGACCTAAATGACCCCGTCGTGCAACACTAGGTACCGCTCTATCGGGCATATCAATATTATCCCCCCTTCCACATACATACAATCCCGCGCTCCGTCATTAAGGATTAGGGTACGGTTTACAGGGCTGACAAGTAACTTGCAGATGACAGCAACCCGAGGGCCAAGGGGTGTCCGTGGGTCAGGTTGTCTTCGAGGTCCTCACCACGCGCCTGTACCCTTGTACATACATCACCCGCTGCTACGTGCTATTTGGACCCATTTAACACCCGTCCAACCCGGCCATTGATGATCGTTTCGTCAGAACTAAATGTGAGGCTTGGTTTTGGCTCATATATCAGAAGTTCGCTCATCGACCCTACCGTTCATCATCGACCGTACTCATGGTACATTCTGGCGCATTTCTTAACATCAACCATATATCCCCTCATCGGGCACCAACTAAAATTCATTTACCTTACATTGACAGGTTTAACGGCGATCTTAACAAAATTTCACCAATTTCTAGCTCAAGTAACCCGCCCGACGCTCTCATGGTCATGAGTCGGGATGAGGAGAGGGCCGGTAGCCTCAGTCGGCCAGGGTCCACCGTCTCTTCGCCCGACGGCTCGGAGCCTAAGGCCGCGAATCGGTCCAAGGCGAACATACGCGTATCCCTTGCCTGCGTTCAATGCCGGAGCAAGCACGTTAAATGCGACGCCACTTTACCGGCCTGCAACCGCTGCCAACAAGAAGACAAGCCGTGCTTTTATGCAAAATCGAGACGCGGCATCCGCGACCCCAAAAAGAGGAGTCTTATATCGGACAAACCTCCAGCAACTTCGGCCGGGGCCTTCTTCTCAACATCAAAATTTTCTCCAGGCCTGCCGTCGGTTCGATCGCCTCGTGACTTACCGAGCGGATGGTCCGTTAGTTCGGAATCGCAAACATCCACCTCGCCTCAAAACGAAAAGGAGTCGTTACTCGACCTATTCTACAGCCACTTTCACCCAAGTTACCCTTGCCTACCCCCTAAAAGATTTTTCTTTAATCATGTCAAATCGGACCCAGACGCCTATCACTTCTTGCTCTTGGTCATAAATTTATGCGGATCGCTTTACACAAACCAAGTCTCTTCCGACGACCTATTAGAGGCCGCTTGTTCGGCAGCGTGTGGGTCATTGCCCTTCACGGTGCAATCGGTACAGGGGCTACTTATTCTAAGCATCGCTTCTTATGGCATGATGAAATTCGAACACCACGCCGGTTGGGCTAACAGGGCGGTCACAATAGCCGTCGATATTGGTATGAACCGTAAGACGTTTGCTGACGCAGCGCCGGATTCGGTTCTCGCGGAAAGCTACCGACGAACATGGTGGTGCTTAACCTTCCAAGATTCCGAACGGGCTCTATGCGATGTCGGCTCTACGCTTTCCATTGCAGATGTGGAGTCCGATGTGGATTTGCCTTGTGAAGAATGGGAGTATGAATCAGGGGTGAGAATTTTCCTTTCCTTGTCGCCAAGCTTGCCAATTACCGAGAGCTAGAACCTCAGCCTTGCACGCAATACGGTCTCCATGCATCATAGACATGGTGGCATTGGTGCTAGGTATTGTACTAACGTAAAGTAAAGCTAACGTATCTTTTAGATCATACCCCAGCCTATCTCCCAATCGCAATACGAGTCGCGAGTCAGCTTGGGTCAATCCGACTTTTCTTCAATGGCTTATCTCATTGATATCTGTAAGATTCAGACCGATTTAGTCCTGCCACATAACGAAGCGTCGGAAGACAAGAAGCCAGAAATATTCCAGCGTGCAGACTCGCGAATATGCGATTGGCTACGGCGCGTCCCAAAGTGGAAAATGAATTTGGTCGATCCAGATGGTGTAGTCGATGTAATACTCTACCACGGCGTTGCCATGGCACATGTGTAAGTATTAGTTAGCATTGTGTGCATTGCCATAGACCATGTGTTGACGCCTAAGAAATTCAGTAACCGCCTTTGGCTCAGACAAGCCTCACCTAGAACTGGACTCAACATACGAGATTATTTCCCACTGGGTCCCGCTAAGGGACCCGATCGTAAGGGCCAAATAGTCAAGGGCTTCGGCTGGAACCCCCACCCAATTGACATCCAAGCCGCTAATCACTATTGCGACCTATTTCGGCATTCTTTCCCTACCAAATGTTTACGCTCGGTATTTGCGATTGGGACACTGAGGGTGGCTTTAGCTTATCTGGACGCATGTGTATTCCTCGGTTTGGACTCGCCTCTTTTTCGGGAGCGAATCAACATGCTCGTACAAATACTTACGGCGCATGGAGAAATATGGCCCCTTTCGAGAAAGATCGCGGATGATGTTAAGACCGTCGCGAAAGAATACTTAACGCCGAGAGTAAGTCAGAGCTGGCGACCGGGAATTACGGAATCCGAAGCATGGGCAGCAGTTTCGAGCGCGCTCTTAAGCGAGGCACCCTTGGCCGTCAATTTTGGATTCGAACCATATCACCAGCCTTATCCGGTCGAGGGTTGGGCTTTGGGTGAAAACTGGCCTAGCCTTACGGACATATATCAAGCCTAAATGATATAACACTTGCCTCTGGTTTAAGGCATGATGACGCTACGTGCTTTTTTATTATCTTTACTCCCGCCCATGTATCTAACTACATGGTATGGCACCGGATCTTGGAAATTTGGTGACGGAAAAGTTACGGTTCAGGGGTTACGACAGGAAGACAGAGAGAGAAGCTCAGCTCGACCCAAGCGGTCACGTTGGGTTAAGACTTAAACAAGATACACACACGAATCCTGCAAGGATCAGGAAAAAAGTACAGGATCAGAGAGCGAGACAGATGCAGGCCTTTTACGACATTTTTCATATCTCGAAAAGTTACGACAAATTACACATAATGATACACAGGCCGGTGTTGTAGGTGGTTGTGCTGTACTTCCAGCAAGGAGCTTGCCCCTATTTTAGGACATATCAGGCACCTAACCTTAGGTACCTTAGGTGCCTAGGTACCTCCTAACCTAACCTAATGTATAGTCTACCTACCTAAAAGTTGTTGACTCGGCTACTTAATTGTATATAGGTATGACGTATAAGAAGTCTAATAAAAAATGACCAACATAACTTCTTCTAGTTGTTTGAAGAAAAAAAGGGGTATCAAGTTCAATTGCTGAATGTTCAATGCTTGTCAATGCTCGTAAATGCACGTGTAACTTTAGCTTGAGGCTTAAGCGCATGCAAGTTATGGATTATGGGTTATGGATATTATGCACGCACTGCGCCTTGCACAATGCGCTACGTTACGCGATCACCGGCGGTGAATCCTAATACGTTCTGTACCTGCCTCATACCCACAATAGCTCTTTCAGTGGGTTAGGACCTCGGGACCGCTAGGTGCCTACCGGCGAACGTACTTTCCTTGTCCCTGTCTTAGGTAGAAAAACTACCCCACCAAAATAACAATAACGCTGCCACAGCTGCCAATTCATCCCACTTCGTTCCTATTCCATACAAACCTTAATACAATTATTATCTCAATATCATTAATTTGCCAACACGGCGAACTTATTGTAGACACGAAAAAACAACAACAACGTTACCTTACGCTCCATACGCGCGCAACACACACAAGGCATGCATAGATCATAACCCTTTTCAAAATGAACTTCGCCATAGAGGTTCCGGGGACGGCAACACCCCTAAACTTTTACGAACTACTCCGCACCCTTCAGACGGCATCATCATCCCTTGACAATAGCAAACGCCAGGCTGCAGGCCAGCAACTTACAGCCTGGGAGTCAAACCCAGACTATTACCCGACTCTGCAGGTAAATATATACATATCTAATATATACCTATATATCTTCTGCTCCTCTCAAGGTTGGATGATTACCTAGATTATATGGTACTAATAACACTAATTTCAATAGTCCATTTTCCTCGAGAAGAGCTCGCCCCTAGATGCCAGATTTCTCGCGATTATCCAACTGAAAAACGGTGTCGATCGATTCTGGCGGCTCCATAGCATCCAAAACGCCATCCCAGCGGCTGCGAAGCAAGTAATACGAGAAAGACTTTTTCAGGGAACTATTGGTGAAGGTGATAGGCAACTTGCTCTGCACAATGCGCTCGTTATTGCTAAAGTAGTTCGCACCGACTTTCCTACCGCGTGGCCTACTCCCTTGAATGACCTTGTCCAGCTTCTGAGGGCGACCAAGGACGGCGATCAGGTTGAGCTCTCGGGTGCCTTGATGATACTTCTGCGAATAGTTAAGGAGCTGGGAACAGCACGTCTGCTTAAGTCTCAGGCTATGCTTCAGTCTATCACACCAGAACTCGTATATGTTCTTGGCGAAATATACCATGCCAAGACTAGTCTTTGGATAGCTTTCCTAACCAACGGTCGCGAGGATGACGATGAGAACGAGGCTTTACTGGCAATGGACAACAGCCTCGATGCCATCAAGAGTCTTCGCCGACTTCTAATAGTTGGTTATGAGCACCCACACAAGGACAAAACCGTCCAACAAGTTTGGAGCTTCTCTCAAGAGCAGTTCGCCCAATTCCTCAACTTCATCAACTGTGATTCGCGAAAAATTGCACGCTATACCGATCTCTTAGGGAAGCATCTTGTCCAATTCACCAAACTCCATATCGAGATGGCTACGAGTCATCCTGCAAGCTTTGCATCCCTCCCAAATTCTTTAGATCTTGTCCGTGCATACTGGGAACTCACCGCTAAATTTGCCGAGGTGTTTAATAAGTCAGATGGAATACGACAAGAGACCTCGGGATCAGGACAGCCCAAGGCTAAGGTGGAGGGTCCCGTTCTAGAGAGGCTGGCATTGAAGGGACTCCTTCTGGTAAGACAGTGCGTAAGGATGGTCCACTTTCCCCAGCAAACAATCCGTTATCGTTCAAAGGATATTATAGAAGAGCAACAACAGGCAGTCAAATTTCTAGGTGCTGAATTACTCAAAGATGAAGTAGTCACCCAAATTGCCAATATCCTAATCACTCACTTTTTTATATTTCGCAAAGCGGATCTAGATGCGTGGGATGAAGATCCGCAAGAATGGGAACAACAAGAAGAAGCTGAAGGTAACGCTTATGAATGGGAAGTCAGACCTTGTGCGGAAAAGCTGTTCCTGGATCTCCTGACGCATTACAAACGTCTCCTACTACAACCCCTCATATCCTATTTCGGTACAATCCAGAACCCGCAAGCAGATATTATCAACAGGGAAGCGGTATATACTGCTATAGGACTGGCTGCTCCACTAGTCAGCGAGGAGTTTGACTTTGAAAGTATGCTAAAGACGACAATAGCAACCGATGCACAGCAGACCGGCCCATTGGCCCGGGTCATCAGGCGAAGAATTGCTATTCTTCTTAGTCAATGGGTACCTGTCAAAATATCTAACGAAGCCCGCCCATTGATTTATGAGATATTCCGACATTTTCTGAACCCCGAAGATGAATGTAACGACATTGTTGTCCGTATTACTGCTGCGCGACAATTCAAGATCATATTTGATGAACTGGGATTTGAAGGACACCTCTTTGCTCCATATGCACCCGATGTACTTATGCGGCTCATCAGGCTACTGGAAGAAGCAGAGGTTGACGAGACTAAGTTAGCGATACTTGAATCAACGCGGAGTCTCATACAGCGCATGGAGACGCATGTCTCCAGCTTTGGTGACATGGTAATGAACGCAATACCCGGAATATGGGAGTCAGCGGGTGACCTAGGCTACATGATGAAGCAGTCGGTTTTAGCCATTATACAAGCAGTGGTGATGTCGATGAAAACAGAGTCTGCGAGATACCAGCCTATGATTCTACCACTCATAGCCGAAGCCACGCGAGAGGGTACCGAGTTGTACTTGTATCTCATCGAAGAAGCGCTAGACTTATGGTCTAATGTCTTACATCAGAGCCAGGCCCCCTTATCGCCAGAGCTTCTCAGTCTAGCTGAGACTGCCATTGGTCAACTATCAAAACAGAACGACAATGCTTTTACATATACAAGCATCCTCGGCTGTTACATCGTACTTGCACCGGAGGCAATCCTTGAAGATCGGTACCGACGTCCAGCTATAGCGGCTCTCTCCAACTCTCTTAGTGCCAAGAATCGTGAGCTAGTGAGTATCACGATACGATATACCGAATCATTGATACGATTGTCTCATAGCTTGGGTGGCACATCTGGCCTCCAAGTTGTTATCCGAGACATGATGGAGACGGGCTTTCTCACTACGATATTCGAAGGCATACATGACTCTTTTGAAGCTCACCAAACAACTGGACCCAAAAAGAGGCAACCTCGTGTGAGCTCTCAAAACTTAGTAGACTACTTCGTGATCCTATCGCGAATAGCTGTCGCCGATCCAGCCATGTTCGTGGAGATGCTTGTCTCACTTGGTCCCTTAGATCAGGTTTGGAGTTGGCTTAGCACCGAGTGGTTTGGTTCGTTCGACAACATAGCCGATAACAATCGGCACAAGCTAAATCTTTTAGCCCTGACGCGACTCCTTGAGCTTCCCCAGCCAATGCAAGATCTTGTCCTGCTCAAGCTCCAGGAGTATTTCTCGATGTGGACCAGCGTCATGGTTCAGATTATAAGTACTGAAGCACCCACTATCGGTAACGATATGCTCGTTATTACCGATGAATTAAAGCCCACAGAATGGGACACACCAAAGGATATCAGGGAAAGGTCCTTACTCGCGACTGACCCAGTAAAAACAGTCCAGTCCCTTCCCTTTGTGCAAGAAAAGCTTAATGAGCTGGTACAGAGAGTCGGTGGAGGACAAGCCTTCGAAGAAAACTGGGCTGTTAACGTCGACAAGGAAGTCATAGCCGGCTTTCAAGCATTAGCCGCGGCACCCAGCGGGGATGCGTAGTGCGTATCAAAGCTAAGAGAAATGCAAGACGAAACGGAACGAAAACAGGACTCTTTAAGGGCCCGGCTAGGACTGTGGCGAATCTGAAGAGTGGAAGAACGTACAGTAAACTGACGTACTACTCTGTCGCCACAAGCATATTAATACCACCCCTCTTGGTAGAACGAAAGTGACGAGAATTGGGTGCTGCTTTGCTACTTACCTGCTTACCTAGACCTACCTACCTTACCTAGGTACTTAGGTTGGGGACTTGAGGCACATAACAGGTATAACTGAAGATACCATGCATATTGAATTGTTTATGTCCCCAGATTTGGTTTGCTATAGATTCTTGCTTACCTGATCTTTACCATGGATAGCCTAGCATAGCCATCAATGAATAAGAGCTCCCGCATTTGTGCGTGAATACCGAGTTTCTAATCGTAGGGAATACCTACCGCTATAGCTGTATGAAAGTGTGCGGATAATAGTTATTAAGCATATGCCTCGACGCTTTTCATCTAGTTTCCACGCAATGCCACTCCTGGTTTTGAGCCCACAAGTTGAAATTCTCAGCCAGTAGATGATATGTATGAAGCTTCACATTAATCCTATAGAAGGAACACGCAAAAATTGCTAGGCTCCCATCATTTTAGAGCGGCGATGTTCATCATTTAGAGGGCGGCAAGCATGCCTACAACGAGACTGTACTCGTACTGGTAAGTCCGGTTATACGTTACTATCCTTCTTCTTATGAGCCCTCCTCGGACAAGACAGGTTAGGTAGGTACAACATCATAAGCTAAGACGAGCGTAGAGTACAAATCATATATAACAGGTACCTATTAGATTGCAAAGACCAGCTCTCTTTTTACTTCAGAGCAAGCGCAACCCAGCCGCCAATCACTACTCACACGCGAGCGGGAATTAGTACCTAGCCTGGTATGACATAACATAACATATATATAAAACTTGCCAGGAAATCAAGAAGCACAGAGGCAGGGGGGAAGGGGGAAAGGGGGAAGGGGAGGTTCAGGACGCACAGCACAAACCGCCAAGCGGCGTGACGGGGCCGAGGAAGCGGAAGCGGGCCGGGTTGAGGACGAGCAGGTACAAGCTGCCGCTGAAGGCGGCGATGCCGGCGGAGAACAGGGCGCAGGCGACAGGACTCTGGTTCTGGTTCTGGGCCTGGGCGGCGACGAGCAGGGCGGCCGAGTGCGCGAGCTGGTAGTGGGCCGCGGTGGCCCAGTTGGCGAGCCTCGCCGGGTCCGAGATGGTCTTCTTCAGGCCGTGCGCGCCGAAGGCGCCGAGGCCGACGGCCGATGCGCCGTAGAGGCACGCGAGGGTCCAGTACATGTCTCTGTTGCGGGGAGGTTGGCGACGGGTGCTGGTGGTGGTGCTGGTGGTGGGTGTGCTGGCGGTGCTTGCGAGGAGGGGATCGCGCTCGGTGGAGGGCATGGCAGATGATAGGGAAAGGGAAAGGGAAAGGGGGATGAACAGTTAGTTAGAGGGGGGACGGGAGGTTTTTTGAGATGGGAGATGAAACCTTATTAGGTCTTAGGTAGCTAGGTGAAGACACGGGCCACGGCAAATGCAAGTACCTATGTATTTTTGGAAAGTGTGTTTTGAAGCATGGAATTGGCCGGAAGCTCCGGTGTTGTCGTACAGAGATTACCTAAAGACTCGTTAGGTGCATTTAGTATTATGTATTTACGTAGCGGGCTGACAGGTAAGAGAATGAGTTATTTCACCTTTGCTTTCACCTTCGCTTTCACCTTCAATTTTATCTTTACGTTGAATTTCACCTCCAACTTCCAACTTCAACTTTTTATTAATCTAACTATCAAGTAATGTACTTTGTTTCTCTTTTCAGAAAAACTATATGTCATGAAGGCAACGCTATGATTATCGAAGGTGGACATCCAAAATACCTGCACCGAATTTTCCTTTTTGAAATACCACCGCTTTTAGGATGCATTAAATGAACCGGCCAGTTCTAAGCCACCAAAACATATAAATGCAACCCGTAAACCATCTTGACCCATAAATTCATTTAGTCATGCCTTCCGATAGCCTCGGTAATCAACCGAGATTAGCGAAGCCGTAGTTGTCGGTATCGTAGTAGCGAGGAGGCGCGTCCTCCGGATTAGGGCACCATGGGAGCCTCTCCGTTGACGTAGCAAATAACTCGCTCCATCGTGGTCGATTCTCTCTGGCCGAAGTTGCCACCAGCTCTAGATGACCCCGCAGAGAAGTACCCTTCGTCTTCAGATACTCCCCTACCAACTTCCAGAATGGTTGATGGGGAACCTTCTCAACCTTGATTGTCACTCCGTCTATGGCGCGACCATCAAAGTCTTTTACGAACTTTTCCAATGCCTCCTCGTCCTTGAAACAGACGCACCCTCGGGTTATACCCACCGTGTAAACGCCAGGAAAGCATGGTAGAAATTGCCGATACTGCGGGTCGGATATGTCGGCGGCAACTCCAATAGGTCGGTAGTCTTGTATTGCGACAGCCAGCTTATGGGCAGAGTTAATGCTGAAAGGCAGAGATGAACCTCCGCGATGGACGTTCGCTTTGTACGGCATGAATCTGAAAGCCTCCGCCCGAGCTTCGACCTCAATTCCGGGCAGCTTTCGCTCTTTTACGACGAGCTTATCTATGTTCGTCCAGTATTGCAACCCGTCCAGTACGGCCAATGCTTTAACCGCTTCATTGATGAATACGCGCTTATACCCAAATTTCCGTACCGTCGTGGAGACGTAGCCAAAGGTGTTAAGGATATCCCTTATGTTAGCTGTGAGGCCGGCTAAGCCTGGAGAAGTCGCTTCGATCATCCTTGAGGGGTTTATCCAACGGGGAAACATTTTGATGTACTCCGCGAAGTTCAAGCCCATGGATTCGATGTCCTTTTGGAGAGAGAAGCCCATGAGTGCGAGCTTTTGTGATGGGATACTCTCGCAAAATTTGTTCAAGGCCTTGACGAGTGCTGAGTTTGCTCTTAGCTTGGCGTCATCATCTCGGCCTATCACCTTGATCTTCAACGACACGGCCTTTACATCGTTCTCCAGCACGAATTCCTCGAGAGATGGCCTCGTACTATCGGCCCCTGCTGTTGGCTTGTGCAGCTCAGGTAAAAGTGCTAGGTTGACTTCAAATACCCCCAAAACTCCTAACACGGGCTTGATGTCCAAGGCCACGAAAACGGCATCGGGACACAGCTTCCTAAGTGTCTTCAAGGTGGGTATATATCGTTTTGTTAAATCGTCTAGTTGTTCCCGGGTGTGGATGTTGTTCGTTTCGATGTAAGGAATCAGCCTATTCTCCCACCAGGAGCCTTCAGCAATCCTTTGTTGGTTATTGGTTTCCGCCGTGTGGCGATAGAGACGTTTGAATCCGAACATGATTGCGACAAGTTCTCTCAGTTTGACCCCGATATCATATATATGTACCAAATTGAAAGTAAGTAATGGTGGTATTTTCGTATGTATCTTTTCATATTATGAGGATATGTGATAGCAGGATGAAGAACTTATTGACAAATATAAATAGAGAAAGCAGAAAACGCGTTTTTGAAGGTAAATAGGTCAAAGTGACTAACTTTAAGCACCATGCTGGAAATAGAATGTCATGGGAAATCAACGAGCATTTATACTTCGAGGAGCTGTTTTAGCACTGACAGGCACAGTAACCTTGGTGAATTTAAAGTTTGGGGCTCTACGTACTTAACTTACCTCTAGTAGGTAAAATGAAGTCTGAACATATTCATAGAAAGTTTTATGAGGCTCTTTTAAAATGGCACTGCGACCATCTACCTGGTACCTGTTACGGTCGAAGTGTACCGTCATAGCGCCAACGTACAGACGCTTTCGAAACTCTAATCTCAGACGCCAGTTGAAAGCTCTATAAGAAACATCTTGAATGTTTAGAAGTGGGCATCGGTGCGTATTGCGAGAAAGCGCTGACGAGATATAAGACAAACAGAAATACTATGATCAAGTACTACTCAATAGCTATGGCTCATCGATAATAACGTACCTAGGTAGGTATGATTCGAGGCTTTGCGTACGCCATGGCAGATCCTAAGTAGAATTACTGATAGCGAGAACTTCAACACTATTTGGGACATGCTACGTTGAGAAACCGAGTTTAATTGAACGCGAGATAAAGTGAATGATAGCTGGCCAATAACTTACCTAGGACCTAGGTACCGAGAGGGGCCCCCTACATTGGGAAAATTCAATATCTCCTTAAAGGTATCCAATGCCTCCTGTCGCAAATTGAGAGGATGACAGATCTCGATTGTCCAAAGCTTTTCTCCATCCCACCAATCACTGGATAGTTTCAATTCTGCAGGACTACGGGGCATATCAGCAATAGTTACCTCACTTGCATTCGCCTTTCCTTAGGATGAACATTCCGATTCCTTGTTCTAGTACTAATGCGCGGTCTTACATCAACTTTTGGCACATCTAAACGAGTGACCCTGAGAAATACGGTGCGCTGCTTATTCAAAATCCAATAGGAAGCTTTCCAGAAATGAGAGGCAATGCATTGTCAAGCAGGTACATATATATCTGGTCGGTTAGTGAAGCAGGCTGAGATTGCTGATAAGCATGCAAAGGGACGGTCCCGACCAGTCTTACACCGGGCACACACACCTATGGTCAACCCCAGGCCTCGTGCGTACGACGAATATAAGAACCCATCGCGTGGCTGTTTTTCAGTTTTCTCTCTACTCCGTTCCATGTATTTCGACCGTATCGACTGGCCGTGCCCCTGAGATCTACCCGAAGCTAAATATCTCTTATACATGCGTATTCGGGTTGATCAGACGACAATGCTCAAAGTTCCATTGATAAGGTTTTTACTAATCTTCCTTCTCGAAGGCTATATTGTTTTGAAGGTGTTAGCTGTGACGTGCTACCACCTTGACGGCTCGAACGCGGGACCAACAAACGCACTATGCAATCCTAAGTAGGTAGACTTCCATAGTTTCTCTACTATCCTTTCTTTACTCGAGGCGAACTAGTTCAATAGTATAGGGGCTAAAGCTTAAATTAACCCTTCTATACATTGTGTCCTAACAGTATATACGTTCTAGTGCTACTGGAGGGGAAGGATCTCATAGCGCATGCTGCAACGCGCAAAACGCAGACGCATGTCTATCAACCGGCCTGTGCATGAACACCCTCGCTCGACAGCAAAGCCATTTGCTATGGGCGACCGCATGCACGGATTCCACTTTCAAAGACCCAAGTTGTCCTCAATATTGCCTTGGACGTGAGTCAACTACTACCCTCCTACCTCCTCACCTTTCCTCCTTTTCAATAATGCCTAAGCTAACATGAACTAAAAGTCAATATCGATAATGCTCATCTCAGATCCTGCAATGATACCTTCTGGTGTTGCGAGACATCTTAACGGCGCAAGAATGCTGTGATACTGCCTTCCGCTTAACGCAACCTATAGGTCATGTCATCGCGCAACTCCAGTCTGGTGGGGTGGCGTTGTTGCCAATGGCCACGGCCTCTTCAGCCGCTTCAAGCTCACCCAATACCGATTCCTCGGCCGAGGATTCATCGAAAATCCCGCCGGGCGCAGTAGCGGGACTCGCAGTCGAGGGCGTTGTCATTGCGTTGGCTTTCGCAGGGCTAGCGTATATAATTTGGCGAAACAGAGTGCTACGTCGGAAAGTGAAGAGGGCCGAAGCGACGGCAAGTGCCCAACAGCAGCTTCAACAGCAGTACCAGTGGCAGCACCCTCCCTCGTCACATGCTGGTATAGCTCCTCCTCATATGGATGCGTACGGCGGCTACGGAAGGCCCGCCACCACAAATACCTACAACGAGCTCCCGGGACCAGAGCCCGTGGGCTCGGAGCTTCCGACCGAGCCTAGAAGCCCCAAGTCTCCGGCTACTAAGTTTCAGGGATGATGTGATGATAAAGGTCGTTGTCAATACTCTTACCCGGGTATCCATTAACTTAGGTGGCTTTTAGATTAAGATATCCTGTAAAAGCTCAGTCGGAGCAGTGTTACGTGGATATATACGTTAGGCGCCTACCTAATGTACTGCTATTTCTACTAATTAAAGCCTCGACCAAGTAAACAAGCAATATGGCGCAGGAATCGAATGAGACTGTAGTAGTCGAGACCAGTTACTCCCCCGAGGTTCTGACGAACTTCGATGAACACGGCCATCTTATTAACCCAGCCACCAGATTCAGCATGCAGTGTAACATATGCCATGTTGTCAACCTCAGCTTCGTAAACCACGCCGTCGACAAGAAGTCCGCAGCGACCCACGAGCCCTTCGTCGTTCTGCCCCGATGCGGCCACGCCTTCGGCTACGAGTGCATCCTCGGGTGGGTGTGGCCGAGCATCAACAAGGAGAACCCCAAGTGCCCGTCGTGCCGCAAGGAGATCTTCCGCAGCAAAGACGACGTCCAAGTATTTCGCATCTTCGGCGTATGTAATGCCGAAGAGCAGCCCATGGAAATAGCCACCATTAGGGAGAGCCTTCGCCTAAACGAGCCAACGGCCCAAACAGATCCGCTGACGCCGCTGAACGAAGGTTGGGATATAATTGATGCTGTATCTTTGCTATACTGAGACGTAATTTAATACGTTAGGTGTCAAAGGCAGCCGATTGGTTCCCATTTAGATAGTTTCTCTGAGGCTTTGAGCTTCTTATTCGTAGATTACCTAGATGTACTAATAATAAAGCTGTTGAGAATAATACTTAAGTATTCCTACCTACCTAATATCGCCTTTTTAACAGTTCTTACACTTGTTTCGGTTCACCCCTTTTCAAGATAATATGTCCTTTGTTAGTCCTCAACAGTCGCTTGTTATGATAATGAGGTTTCCATTGAGAGTTAAACTTTCATACAATATAGCTAGGTACCTTAGGTACCTAAGGCAGGTAACATTTAGGGTCTTAAACCAAACGCTGCGATTATCAAATCAGGGGCGGTCCAGAGAGCTCGCGATAACGCCCCCCTCATCCCCAATCCCAGAGGCATCTTCTCCATGCTTCTGCTTCTTCTTCTTGTCCCGCTTATACATGAACGCCACCGCCGCCGTGATGACAGCCTGCGCGCCGAACATGACGGTCGAAAAGATGAAGCCCTTCTGGAACCTGGGCGAGTCTACTTGCGGGTACGTCAGCAGCGGCACCCAGGCGTTGAAGGCGTAGCCCATGGAGTTCATGATGCCGATGACGATCGCGCGCTCCTCCGCGTCCGCGCCGCAGATCTCGTTCGTCCAGCTCATGCTGAGGGGGCCGTAGGGGACCGACGCGCGCTGCATCAGGAGCGCGAACCACTTCAGGCCGTCCGGCACGTCCCAGATGGCCAGGACGAGAGCCGCGAAACCCCCGAGAAAGGTGCTGATGGACATGATGCTCGCGCGGCGGCGGATCGCGTCGGAGACGATGGCTAGCGTGACGGTGAGCACTAGTTGGATGGCTGACATGGCTGTGGGGATGATGTTCTAGTAGTAGTAACCTGTTAGACAATCTGAGCGATTGGTGTGGATAAGGGGCACTTATACTTACTATTCTTTCAATAGATTCGCCCCTTGATTTCAGCCACTATAGATAAGAACAAACGTCAGTCATTGGTTCTCGAAGAGAAACAAGCAGAGCAACACTTAGAAAGGGGAAATGTCTTACGATAGCCATAACGTTTATGCTTGACGATGGTGAAATATTGATGAATATAATATACAAGATTGTGAGAAGATAGACGTGCCATCGACCTATCTCAGTCATTAATATATTTCATGATACGGAGAGGGTGAGAGCTGTTCGACTGACTGAATATTCGTTTAAAGGTAGCAAGTCCGAGTTTCGCGCGGGGGGCACGTCCAGCTTTGTTCATGCGCTCCCTGGCCATGGCGCGATCCTAAAGTCGCCTTGGTTAATTGCTTGAGAGAACACCACAGTAGCAAAGTTTCCCAGCAAGACTCACCTCCTTGTTTAAATAAAAGGCCCTTGTATTCTCAGGGAGATCCGGTAATATGAAGAATCCCGCAATACATATCGGGAGGCTTATAATCCCATCCATAATCTGTATATGAGCGTTAGTCGAGTGATCAAAGGACTTCGAGACAGACCATCAAACGTACGAAGAGCCACTGCCAACCAGCGAATCCATTGACCCCGTTTAGTCCTCGATACACGCCGGCCTGGAGATAACCCGAGAACATGCTGGCCGCGGCAGAGGATGCGTGGAAGATGCAGGCTCGCTTTCCTAATTCAGAGGGCTTATACCATGATCCAAGAATCGTGTGAGCCGCCGGGTAGAAAATCGATTCAGCCAACCCGACGAAGAAGCGGATAACGATGACGTGATTCGACGTCTTAGCAGCTGCCAGGCAGAAGGTCAGGAGAGTCCAGACGAGCTCGCACGAGGGTACCCAAACGGAGGGTCGGACCTTAGTGAGAACGATCTGCGAGGGTATCTGGCCGACGACGTAGCCGACGGTCCACGCGGTGTCAACGAGGTTTATCTCGTTGCCGTTCATGCCGAGGTCCTCCTTCATGCCGCTGACGAACGCGTTCGCAATGTTCGTCTGGTCCAGGTTCTTGATAAAGTACCCGAACGACAGCATCGTGACCAGGAACACATCGAGCTTCTGGATGAACGCGCGCTCCTCGCGGGACCGCCCGGGCTCGTAGTCCCAAATGCACGACCACCATGGCACCTTGACCTTCTCGACCGGCTCTAGTTCCGACTCCTGCCTCGACGATCCCGCGACGTCGAGGGTCGACTCGCTCACCAGGACCTCCTTGGGCGAGCGTTGCTCAGACATCGTGGTCGCCCGAGTGAGATGATTACTTTGGTATTTGAGTGCTCACTACTCCACTACCAAGTGCCAACAGACCTAACCGTAATCCCAATCACGCACGACCTCAAACGCGAACGAAGATCAATAATTTTATAAGAAACCAGGTTAAGCTAGTTAGGTACTTCCTACCTAAGTGAACTTTAAAAAAGTCATTATGAAAAAGTACGTCCGAAAACCCCCCAGGACCCTGAATGACAGCGTGTGTGTGTGGGGGGGGGGGGCGGGGGGGGAGTGTACCTCCCAAGACCATTATCACGATACGTAGACCCCGGAACTGATAACGATTGAGTAGCTTAGAGTTCGCCATGGCAGGATCGGCTGTCGTGATACTAGAGAGCGAGGGACGCACTGAATGACGGGTTTGATTGGCCATGTCTTGGTTGAGACGCAAAATGTGTTCTAGTTCGTGTCCGGGTCAATGTCATGATTGGCGTCTCCGATGGCGTAATTTGGGATCACGAGGAATGGTCGAGAGGTTTATGTTAGGGGGAGGGAGCATGCCAACAACACAAGTAAATTAAGAGATTTTACATGATGGTTATTATAAGATGTGATGTGTTATTGGAATAAATTGATTTATTTTGTTAATTTAGATTTGACTACGGAACACGGTACCCGAGTTTCTATGAAACTACCTAGAAATAATAAGGGCGCCTTAATGGTATAGTAACTATTCAGGTAGGTACATCGGACAATAGTGGCAGCCCAATTTCTTCTCACTACAGCCAAGAAGTATTCTATTTGGTAGATTGTTTCCTAGTTGCTTTGAGAGAGTCGACGGCTTGGTAGAAGCTTTAGACCAAGCTCCTTAAAGGAATCCGCAAATAGGGCCTCGTCTGAGCAACCCAACATAAGAAACGTGATCGGAAATAGGAGTTACATAGGTACCTAGGTTAGGTACCTAGATAGGATAGAGCTGACTGACAAAATAGTATAGGTCTATAATATAAAGACCGATGCGTGGAACTACACTGTCGCCATTTCGGAACCAAATCAAGTCTCTTGAAGATGTGCTTTACATCTAGTTCTGTTGATGAAACACTACTTATCTTCTGCAAAGAAGCTGCGAGTATTCAAATCAGCTAGGGACCCATCGTGACTGTAACGTATACAACCAATGGAGACTCAACGAGGGGCTCTCATGTCACACATAGGATCACGCAGCTGATAATATCCCCGGCGGAGGGCGCCGTGGGAAGAATGCGTTCATGAACCGCTTCAAGGACACCTGCAAGCGCAACGTCATACAGCTGACTACATCTAAGGACGTCTTATAAAAGGAAACTTCTCGTGATTGATTTGCCAATTTTAAATAACTAGCACATATCATAAACTCGTCGCTTATTATATTTCGTTTCCTACGGTTTGTGGTGGCTTTTCCAGACTTAACCCTTATAAAACATCAAACATCATACAGTTACGAGCCTTTCTTCTGAAATCGCTCCTACTGTTGGGGCTTTGGCCGTTTGGTTAGTTTTTATTGGCCTTAGGCCAATCCCATCGATATCGGCATCTCCTCTTCCGCCTCTCGTGCATAACGTCGTCGCGTCTGATATGTACTCGTTTATCGGATTTCCTTGCCTCTCCGGTCCCCTAGTTCGAGGAACATTCTTCATAACATCAGGTTTCGAAGAGGGCTTAAGGCCCATCAGCTGTCTGACCAGGGGCTTCAGCATCGGCACCGAGGCGCAGACCAGACCCAAGCTCGACTCTAACGTGGTCCATATCGCGAACGAAAACGAGTCCCACTGGGCATACTTGGGGTTGAGGAATTGCCATGCTACGGCCATCCGTGTTAGGGACGCGCAAGCCACGAAGATGCCCAAAGTCAAGACGAATGCGAGAGCGATCTTCTGTCGCAACGGAAGCGTCATCTTGAGTATATGGGGAAGCACCATTCCAATCATCCATAAATCGGTTGTCGTATGTAAAGCAGCCGACGCCGTCAGGATCGGGTAGTAAGCCAAGCAATGTCCCACTCTGATATCGAATTCGTACCCGCCCTCCACGGGGTTGCATATGAAGAACGTGAGAAGGAAGAAAACGAGGCCGTAAACCGCGACGCAACCCATGGTGATAAATATGAAGGTTCGCTGGTACGGCAGCTTCAATATTCGCAGGTAAAATAGCAGAATGCTGATCTTGGTAAGGACCAGTGACACCTGGTAACAGCTTATCGTCGCGTACGAAAGTCGGATGCCGACGGATCGCAAACGCAGAGGAATGTTGCTAAACATGTGACCGAGGCCATATTCGGTTTCGACGCCGACGATTGCGACCACCGCGATGGCGAACAGCCAAGCGAAGAATATTGCCGCATCATCCCACCACTGGTTCTTGAGTAGGAATCTTGAATAAAGACGACCGATGACTACGAGGCTCGCAAAGACCAACGGGATAATGATCCCAGCAAGAATCTGGGGGACCTGGGAACGGCCCGTGAGCTGTTGGAGCAATCGAGGTTAGTAAAGGTACCTAATCTAGCATCCACTAGGTACCGAGAATGAACAAATGTGGGGGAATTACCTACCTCGTTTGGTGGCTGTTGGGCCATTAAGGAAAGATACCTCTCTGCGATGGAAGCAAGACGCGAATTGTCGCATGCCGGCAAAGGCGGGGAGAGCGGAGCAAAGGAATCAAGACAGACCCAGCTACTACTTATTTGGAGGAGCTGACACCGACGTCAATACCTTACCTACCTATATAACGATATATAACGTGGCGGGATTTCTTAAAAGAATTCATATTGCCATCGACTTCCAAAGGCGTCAGCACAAGCTGGCGATCGCTCGATCAGTACCCGGGATCTACTTGCTACGGCCGCTACATAGAAGCTCAACTCTAGCTGAGGGCTGGTTACCTAAGTCCTAACTCCAACGTCCTAACCAATGAAGCCTCTGCAACGAGACTTCTGCTCGAAAAATGCTGCTAATAAGGTGACATTCAATATCACGGCTGGGCTGCATAGCGGGCTTTGTCTCTGGATTGAGAGCAGGTTGGCCGAGCCGTTCTAACACCCATACCTGTGAGCTGTGCTCTCACAGGGCTGGTTCGTACAAAAGTAACCGTAGCCCACCAATAGCAAAGCTCACAACCCCATTTCAGCCCCCGTACTATGTAATTGTAACAGGGGTTTTCAATACGTGCAGCGAAAAGCAGGGATGCAGGTTAATTCGATAGATAACATGATTTATTTACACAACCTCGAGGGCCACATCACCTTTTTTACTTATGAATATATTCTATTCGTCAAATTCAGTTTCCATACCCTATCCCACAGCGGAGATATCAATAAGATATATTTTAGTCTACATTCGAACAGGCATCATAGAAGAGAGAATGCCAGTGGCTAATTCACGAGCGCCATGGTTCTGGCTTTGTGTGATAATGTAACCTTATCCCGCCGCCTTATTTGCTCAGCTATACAACCATACCTTACATCGCTCACCCTCAAAGTCGAACCTCTCGGATCTTTCGTAGGATGAGTGGGAATGAGAATTAGGAGACGTTAAATTCTGATCGGTATAGATCTCGCCAGAACCACAATCTACAATCGCCCATATCGATGAGAGAATCAGGAGGCGTCAGCTCATAAAGAGCAAAAACACCAACAGCTCGCCCGACTTCGCCTTAGGATACATGTCGACTCATCCATTCCCGAGTCGGCAATTATAAATGTGTTCTCGACGAGATTGTTTTGTTATCGCCTCTCATGATGCAAGCAAGTAATAGGGATGCGACCGTATTTTTCGAGCCTAGAACTAACTACAACTCACGTAGACATCTCGGTAGCCTCAAAGTAGACCGTTTTAGCATCACTGGCGCATGTGCTCTTGGCCTTATCTCACGGTAGAAGCACTATGTCGATATTATACATAAGGGAAGGACGTACCGAGAGCCAATTAAGATCTACCCCAACACATTAGCTCATATTCACTCGAGTTCATACATTGAGAAGTTGGCAATGATTCAATAGGAATGGGAGATCTGAGATATCCGAAGACCTCAAGGCTGAACAGCACACTCCACAGAAAGTATCTAAGTTGTTCGGGACTGCCTACACTCAGGGCTTAGACAATGGGGGATTCGAGTTTTAACCTCGGATACATGATCATGGGTAGGATGTCTGGTTTCATCGTGACTTCGACCCTGTCAAACAACGTTTGGCAATCTTTTCATTGCCGACTCTCTGATAGGGAGATGGATATCTTGGGCAGGTTATTTTAACTATTACATGTTGAAGCTCTACCCCTGAAGTTGTTCGGCAATGTCAAGCAAGTTGCATCACTTAAGTGCTTAATGAAGTATATCTTGAGAAATGATTTTGAGGAGGTCGCTTTATATATATACCTTAGGTATGCATGAAGCTTGAATTAGGTAGTCCTTCCAGTAAATGTGAGTACACAGTCCAACACGATATAAAAGCCAATTCTCGGCGCCTTTCTGTGAGCGGGGGCGGATTTTGAAGATGCATAATCCTCTTCAACTAGCTGTAGTAACTATTAAACTCAAGCGGGGGTAATTATTGATACTCTGACAACATTTACCGTGGAGTGTAATAGTAAAGCATAAAGGAACCAAGTTTTACTAAGGTAGGCGTCGTATAGATTCGGATATGATAACTCAACAAAGTCTCAATAAGATCTTAGGATTAAACAGCATAGCTGCCCAAAGTCAAGACCTCATGTTTCTATCAATCCAAAATCAAGTGTACGCATAGTCTAGATGTTGCGAATCGATAGCGCGAGGTGTTGGGCTTTAGGAATTATCATATAAATAACCCCTTTATCAATTGCTTGTGACAGGACCAAAGGGTTCGGTTTATAGACTGTTCCAGTAATAGTGTATTCAGTACTACTGCGTTATTTCCCCAACAAGGTTCAGGGGTCAGGCTCCTTTGCTTTTTTTGTGCTTGTCCGGAAAAAAAAAACTTCTTTTTCTTTTAGATCAGGTAGACAATACACTCATCTCACACTTATTATGACAACCAACAAAGTGATTGATATGGAAACTTAAGTGAATATGCACACACTAATTACCACGTACAAATAAACAGTGTACCCAACTGTAGGCGTTACCAACGCTCGTAGAGAAAAAAATGCAAAAAAAGATGAGTAAAAAAAAGATGAGTAGGCCGAATAGGTAATCGACAAAAAGGACACTGCCCATCCTGGGGTCGAACCAGGGATCTTCTGATTTCGGTTTTCTACTGTTAGACAGATAGTAACAGTCAGACGCCTTAACCACTGGGCCAATGGGCATCGAAGCTTTCTTTGAAAATTTTGCAAATTATTCCAAGTTATTATCCACAAAGTCGTTGCCCACCACGCTATAACTCATGAGCGGGTCTCTCTCGGGGAAAATTCTCATAATCTAGCATTGGAAATGGTGAAATAATTTCTTCAACGGAATATGTCTTGGTTCTTATTCGGCTTTGACTGATATAACGTAAAGAAGGTTGGGCGTTGGAGGGCTCAACGCTTGGAAAAGTCGACACATGTAATAATAGTATAATGAAGTACATATAAGATCTCTCATCATGGTCTCTACCCCTCCATATATCTTCAGCAGCCGCATATGGACATCCGGAGGGTATGTGGATACACGGAAAGGAAGCACGTGGACGCCGCGTATACGTACGGTGCGTATTACTAGCCTTATCAATTATATTATCTTCGGCGTTGATAGCCGTTCACCGCACCGCGAAGGTTTATACTGCGGTTTCAATCGGTACGACCCGCAACTGTTGCAGAGCCAAGAGCTTAAAGATCATGTGGCTTATAAGGCAACGAATAGAAGTGCCTTCTCACCGCGTATTTACCTGCTTCACGTGCTTCTCGATGCTTGGAGATACCAGGTATTTGGAGGTCGGAAGGATAACGCTCTGTGGCACTACTATACATGTTGGGATATCCCTTTCTCACTTAGTATATGATTTGCATACTCTCAGCTACGGCGTGAAGATCGTCGTCAGACCTGGGAAAGAGATAATAGCAGCTACCTTGCCCAACTAGTTAATACAGATTCGGAGTTACGGGAGAAGATATCTATACACGGCTTTTGCATGATCTTTTTCAACAAGGCTCGCTTCTTGGATATGTAGGAATTCCTAATTGGGGATTCCCCAGCAGATATATCCAATAATAGCTTTCACCTGACCGCATGATCTATCCAATCAGCGTTAGGGAAATGACTTCCGAGACGTGTGGATATCCCCTATAACCTCTTTTGTCCAAATCTCCAGCTTGGCGTTCGAAATGCATACGCACAGGCTCCCCCTAGTTATAATAGTTAGTCGCAATGCTCTCGATAAACTACATGGGGAATCAAGCCAAGATGTCTGTGTTCTGTGGGGTTCCATAGTCCATATCCCCATCTGGTAATCTTCTTCGGATCAATACGAATGAGGTAAAACAAAGTTTCCAGACTCACAGTATTATATGCCTATTGATGTTTGGACCGCGAAGAAAAGGCACGATATCGAGGCTGATATTACCTGACATATAAAATAAATTTTCGAGGCCAGTGAATTGGGGCTGATAGTTCTGTGTTTTAGTATGCCTTTATTATTTGTTCCTTTTCCCTTTAAATTATACAAAGCCATAGATAGGTATGTATTTTGATTGTATATCTGTGTGACATCCCGGTCCCAATTCGTATAGAGCGATTGAAGTAGTTTTATACCTAACACGTCCCGAAGGAGATCTCCGAAATTGGCACCTCGATCTTGGCTTCAGCAAACAAATCGTACTAACTGGCCAACTGGATAGATCATCTAGTATAATGTCGCTGAACTGCAAGGGTTACGAATCGAAATACACATGTAGTTTACTCTCAGTGCAGAAGGATGATACGGGAACTTGAGGCATGACGTCTCAGAAACCAAGAAACCAAGTCACGCATATATAAACCTCCTCGGTGACTCTCACCTACCTAGAATATCCTATGTAATATCAAGAAGATAAAGAAGCACCACACTAAGGCACTACTGTCTTTGCGCTGATTTTAAAGACACGTTTATGATCGCTCAATTCGATCCTCTATCACGATGGCCATAACCAAGAACCCTAACCTTTTGGTTGCTCCTGGATCTCTAGTAGTGGTGACAGGTGCGAATGGGTACATCGGATCTCACATTGTCGACCAGTTCTTACAACGGGGCTACCGAGTCCGTGGTACCGTTCGTTCGGTCTCTCGAGATCAATGGCTGAAAGACTACTTCGACAGGAAGTATCCGGGAAAATTCGAATTAGTCGAAGTGCCAGATATGGTGAAGAGTGGGGCATATGACGACGCCGTCAAGGGAGCATCCGGCTTCGTGCATGCCGCAGCTCCTGCTATGGACTCAATGCAAAGTCCCGACCCCCAGGTCAGAGTCCAAATCGTAGTGGACAGCACGGTGCGAGCTCTAGAATCGGCATCAAGAGAGCCGGGGATCAAAAGAGTGGTCCTGACATCCTCGTCTGGATCTGCAGTGTTTCCCATCGCCAACAAAGCTGTTTCGATAGATTCAAACACTTGGAATGACTACTCGGTTAAGGAGGCATTTGCTCCACCCCCATACGAGGGCGAGAAACGCATGGTAGATGTTTACTACGCCAGCAAGACCAAGGGCGAGCAGGCGGCGTGGGAATGGGTGCGCAAGCACAAGCCTCACTTCACATTCAACGCAGTCCTGCCCGATTTCAACACGGGGGCGCCCATAAATGTGGCTAGACAAGCGTCCAGGAGTACGGCCGGTATGATCAGCGTCTTGATTGAAAAAGGCGAAGCGATGAGGCCAGAGGATGTCGTTTTCCCCCCACAGTGGTACATTGATGTCCGTGACGACGCCGCATTGCATGTGGCCGCATTGATCTACTCTGATGTGGTAGACGAGCGCCTATTCGGCTTTGCTTACCCTTTCAACGTTAACGATGTTATACGGACGCTGAAAGCGTTATATCCAAAACACAAATTCGGCGAAGAGATCGCTGATGTCGGTAGAGATCTATGCAGCGTTACAAACGAGAGAGCGGAAGAGCTACTCAGAAGACTCACCGGACACGGATGGACGAGCTTAGTGGATTCTCTGAGGGATACTGCTGAAGCGTTGGGAATACATTGATTGCCTTAGGTACCAGATAGAGGTAGACACATATGATGTTTGTAGGTTAGTAGGTGTTTGCACATCCTGTACATACCTGAAGTTATCGCATCTTTGAGCGGTACAAAGTGCACCCGAAAAAAAAGGGTTGTTGTAGGTAGCGTTGCAATTGTGGACCGATCGCTGTGTGGAAAAGAAGTGTGTGACCGTACTCTGTACTTGCGTTGATTAACAATACACTTTCCTACTAAGCGACGCTAACAGATGTTAAACTGTAGCACTTACGAGATACGGAATAGACATTGAGCCGAATGCCACACATGCTTTACCTAATGTTGCCAATTTCCAAGATTATGACGCTAAAATGTCCCGGCAAACGGGAATAATATTATGTAAGAATTCTTCGTGTTTCTAAGTACCTAGGTAGGTACTTAGGTATCCCCGGTCTGCCGGTTGTGGTATACCCGTAGCATTGTAACACGGCGTCCAAGAGTGGGGGAAAAGTGGATGGTGGCCGTCAAGATCACCCGGATCTCCATCTATAGGGAGGAGACCTACAGGTAGGTATCTAAGGTATATAAAGTACCGTAGCTTACTACCTAACATAATGTAAATAAGATATCCTAGGTTCGTATAAAAAAGTTTAGTCTTCTCAGTTGCATATACAGATTACCTTAAAATCATCCCCTCAAACGACCTTCAACCCCGCTCAGTGAACCGCTTAAAGAGACATCTCAAATACTTCACTACTAAACCAGGTACCTAACTTAACCTAACCTAACCCAATCTCTAACCTATAATCGCGAGAATGGCCCCCAAGATCTTCCTGTAAGTAAAAGGCTAAAACCGAAACCGACGTGGAGGCGGTATCATTTGGAGTTAGCTAGAAGCTAATACGTCTTGTAGCACCGGCGCCACTGGTACGAAATTGACATCCTAGCAAATGAAGACCATCTCATCTTGGTCAGTATAAAATTCGGTACTAATTGTTGTAAAAATGCAGGCTACATTGGTGGTGATGTCCTATATCAGCTGAACAAAGTCCACCCCGACTACGAGTACACCCTACTTGTACGAAACGAGGAGCGAGGCAAGCCCGTCGCTGCAGCTTACCCCAAAGCCCGTCTCGTCTACGGCACTCTAGACGATGGCGATGTGATCGAGAAAGAAGCCGCCGCGGCAGACATTGTCGTTCGTACGTTATTTTCTTTATCATCTACTGCCCGTAAAAGGAGAACAGTGAATGGCTGACAGAACTCAGACACGGCCGACTCAGCCGACAATGTCCCTTCCGCAAAGGCCATTGCCAAGGGTATCGCGGCGGGCCACACGGCCGAAAAGCCGGGCTACTGGATCCACCTCTGCGGAACGGGCATCTTGACCTGGTACGACACGGACAACAAGCGCTTCGGACAAGCGCCGCTCCCGGACCAGAAGTACAACGACGTCGAGGACATCGACCGCATCCTGTCTCTTCCGGACAGCGCGCTCCACCGGGACGTCGACAAGATCGTGCTGGCGGCGAACGACTCGCCCGGCGTCAAGACCCTGATCGCGGGACCCCCGCTGATCTACGGCCCGGGCCGCGGCCCCGTCAACCAGCGCAGCATCCAGGTACCCCACATGGTCGAGTACACGCTGAAGAACGGGCACGCGCCGATCCACGCCCCCGGCCTGACCGAGTGGAACAATCTGCACATCCACGACGTGAGCGAGTTCTTCGTGCAGGCCGTCGAGGCCGCGCAGGACCCCGCCAAGGCCGCCAACCCCGAGATCTTCGGCCCCAAGGGCTACTTCTTCCTCGAGAGCGGCGTGCACAAGTGGAGCGACTTGGCCCGGTGGGTCGCCGACGAGGCCGCGAAGCAGGGCCTCATCCCGGAGCCCGCCACCAAGGAGGTCGATATCCCCTTCTTCGGCGCCAACTCCAAGGCCGTCGCCGTCAGGGCGAAGAAGTACCTCGGCTGGACGCCTAAGGCCCCGAGCCTGAAGGAGGATATCCCGCGAGCCGTGACTTTTGAGGCCAAGAAGTTGGGCAAGGCTTGATTAAGCATCTGGAGGAGATGACGCTATGCAAGTTTCTATGACAGCTGTGTTAACAGAGTTTCTCACGGTAATTCCTCATTAATGGCAGCCGACGAATATGAAATTTAATCCCAAAGTCCAATCTGTTCATTATCGACTAATTCGGCGATCACAGCCGTATCTATCTTGCGCATTTCATTCATTATCATTATAATCGTGTACCCAGAAACAACCAAATTACCTACCTCCTACCTAGCCATCCCTATACTTAGAACGGGGCATATACTCGTAAACTCGTAATCAAAGATGCTCAATGTCGAAGTATACCTTGACTTCAACTTCATTACTCCAGCCAGCTGTGAGGCCCATCTCCTTCCACGCTGTCTCGACATCGATGTTCAAAATGTGACTATCGACCTTATTAATAGTAACCGTATGTGGCGGGATAGGTTGGCCTTGAATAGTAACCATGAAATCCCGCTCAATCAACATGTCGGGGAGACTTGAAATATACACGCCTGTCACTAATTAGTCTCATAAGCGGCTATGCAATAGAAGCAAAAACTTACCCAAAACTCCCAACGCTTTGAGTCGTGTATCCAAGAACACCCTACCAGTGTGTAAAAGCTCAGATTGGTTTGTAGTAATAGCGGCAGCGCCCGTTATCTTTCCGATGAGTCCCAAATTTGCAAAGTATATCATGCCGTTCGTCTCGCTATCGAACTGTGTTATGGGAAACGCAGTAAATATTTCATACTTCCGTACATCTAACGATACTGCAAGGACACTACTAGTAGAGCCAGGCTCTATAACAGGTGTGACTAGGCCGCTGCGGTGGGCGCGCACAACATATAGATTTGCTTCAGACACACCTGGAATCCGCGAGAGGGGAATAAGCTCACTCACGGCCCGCCTGGACGTGTTGAAGACACCTAGTAGCGGCGTTCCCGTTATGGCCCGTCCGTGGTAACTCCCAATTTTGAGCAGCACAGGCTCATCATAACTGGTATATGCGTCGATGCTTTTGCCTACTACACTAGGTCTGAAAATGACAGTCTTTCCCCGAGGCGTTGGGCCTGTCATCTCGGAAATTAGATGGGCGTTGTGCTTCCCAGGGGTATCCGTGATATAGATTGGCCCGCCACTTAGGCATCGCGCAGCAGCATGAAAACCCGCAAACTCATGTCCAGTTTGGAACATATCCCAATCTGGCAGAATATTTAGGTGCTGGGTCAGCAAGGCGTTATGGGCATTTGCGAAGAGATGCCACGGGTGTGAATCCGGGATATCGGGGTAAAAGTCATCAGAATTACGGGCGAGCATGGTGGGCCTGTTGTGCGGCAGTTGCTGAAGGAATAAGAGCTGTGGCGCTTGTGACATACACGATATGGCTCTGATGCCGAAATACCTCAGGGTCGATATCATCCAACTATCAAGATAAGTCTCGGTGAGTTTACGACGGTGTTTGGCCGAGACCCAAGTGTCTACCATGTACTGCACATCAGTTTTGACACCATCAATCCCACAGTCCGACAAAAAACGGTAAAAGTCATTGTAGAACTTCCCGACGTCTTCTTTTGCGATTACCGTCATGGGACCGCTGAAGTTAGAATCAGTACGATCAATTCGTACTGTCTTGTAAGTCTGCGCAAGGTTCCCGCTGCTTGAAATACCTCCCCAGTAACCAAGTAGAGCATGCCAGACGGCGACGTGTTGGATGCTCGGATGCTTTGAGCGGATGAGGGACACCGTATCCTTGAGTCCGTTAGGGAATGCATTTGGCTCAGCTTCGAACCCCTTCCAACCGTGCTGGTATTGACTCTGGCCTTGGTAATCAATATCTTGCCAGTTATCATCTATGATGAGGCTGCTTATATTGATATGGTCGTTTGATAATGTTTCGACGGCATGCAGTATTTTCTCTTCTGTTAGACGTTGGCCCAGAGCGTTCCAAGTACCTAGGAGGTAGTCATAGGTTAGCGCTGACTCGAATTCATTACTAGAATTCACATTGATAAATGTCTTACAATATCCCAATCCATCGTACCAATTTTCATACCATTCAGGCTTGATGTCACTAGTTAGACTTTGTATTTCCTTGGCAAATTTATCCTTGCCATTACCTGTGGCGAAGATGACGGTTCGCGCGTGATACATGACAGCTGCCATCGCACTCTCGAAGTCATCGCCAATGGAAGCCAAAACTAGACCAGATGATTGAGACTCATTATCGCTCCGTATCTATGAAAAGAGGATGAGATTAATATCACCGAATAAGTTAATTTGAAGATATGAGCTCTTGCTTACATGTAACGTAACTGAACCCGAATTCGAGCTGCGAAGGAGTGTAGTTACGTTGGCCAGTCCGCTGACTCCTAGTAGGACAAGATGTTTTCCTTGGTGGCTCAAAAAGGAGCACATCACAGCATCCTTATCTAATTTAAATTGCTTTCTACCGTGCCTAGGGCCCAGCCACGGTAACCCATGCCGGACAAGAGCAAAATATCTAGATCACGGTGTTAGCTCCGTGTTATTGATTGAAAGATATAATAATTTAGAAAAGATGAGCATCGTGGCTTACCGCAGAGCACCACCCCACGGAGTCCCGAGATCCACATCGGCGTATGCAGAATGATCATCTTCGGCCGGATCCACGCTTGCACTTATGGTCCAGAGTTCGGTATTTGGGGTTTGACTCTCCGCAGCTGTGACCGTTAGTTCCGGATTAAGACCACGAATTACGTTAGAGAGACTCGTGTTCGTTCTGTTACTAGGGGATGATGGGGTGGCAAGGACGATTCCATCGGATATTCCCGAGACTTTGCGAGACCATCTCCAAGGTTGATCATGACCATTGCGAAATTTAAGAGTGAATTGTAGAGAAGATGATACGGTGAATGGCACCCCAAAGTAAAGGAGAGTACGCGACTGCGTAACAGGTTGGAGTGACAATGGGGAGTTGTCGACGGAAATGGACGACAACAACTTCTCCGTCCAGTCGGCACCGGAAGAAGAGTACCAAACGGCAACGTCCCAAGGCTCATCTGCATAGCTGTTATCTACTTCTAGTAGAGCATAAAGTTGGAATGTATTATCTTTGAGCTGAGTGACTTGGCCAAGAGGTGGATAGCTTGATATGGTTGATTCCATCTTGACCGCGGGAACGTCCGGTTTGGAGACGCGGACAACGTGAAACTCGGAATCGATATCACGTTCACCTTTAGACATGATTACAAGTGAAAAATAGATGATTATAGCATTTTAGATTATAAACAACTTCGAAAGTTGATACAAATAGTAATAGTAATAATAAATAGAGGTAAGATAGGGTATTTATATTAGATTAGGTCTAGGTAGGTTAGAGGTACGTAAATAAAATAGCGGTATTAGGAATCGAATAAATACCTAAGGTACCTAAGGTAATAATACGACGTTCGATGATTTCAAGGATAATACGGCCAAGTAGCCAAGTTGTAACAATTGAATTTGTGGAAACTCTTGGAGGCTTTTCTTGTTTGCAAGTCAAAAAAGTTCAAAAAAGTTCAATTGGTGAGCCAAGACCCGTTAGCCGATCCATAAAACATTGGTACCTAGGTAGGTAGCCAATCAAAAGTTGATTATTTCTCGCAATGCCTTTTTTTTTTTTCTTCTATTTTTTTTACTCTATGTACTACGTAGCTGCTTAGCCACAGACTATTATGTACTATAGTACCTGTCAGCTTGGACTTAGTCGGAATTTAGCGGGAAGAAAGCTAAAAATTGCTAAAAAATTGAGGCTTGCGTCTGAAATTCCCAAATTCCCACACGCCCGCAATGGGACCTTGGGAACTTAGACGCCTCATGCCAAACCCAAAATTTGAGCTCTTCGATTACCGAAACCGAACCACTTCAAGATATTTACATCAAACCGCTCACTTCCGTAATTCCACCCTCCCGCACGCAACACCCTAATGGCGTCTAGGAGACTCGCTTTAAACCTCGCGCAGGGCTTGCGCAGCCGTACTGCAAATTCTGCTATTCGACCATTACGAAGAGGTTTTGCAACTCCAGTGACGTCTGCCCTCGGCGCGAAGACCCAAACTACGACATTGAAAAATGGTCTGACGGTAAGTTACATCCAACGGTCAATTGGGCTGATCAATACTTGTCTGACTATCCTCTAACCATATCCCGAAAGGTCGCGACCGAATACTCGCCTTGGGCGCAGACTTCGACGGTGGGAGTATGGATCGATGCCGGTTCGAGGGCCGAGACGGATGAGACAAATGGAACCGCACACTTCCTAGAGCACCTCGCCTTCAAGGTATTTTTTTTAACCGGTAACGACCTCGCCGAAAAATGTTACGCATTACTTACGACCTCCATAGGGTACTCAAAAGAGAACTCAGCAACAACTAGAGCTCGAAATCGAGAACATGGGTGGTCACCTTAACGCATATACCTCGGTGCGTTAAATATACCCGGCAACCCTTATGACTCTCGACTGACACAATAATAGCGTGAAAACACCGTTTATTTCTCTAGGGCATTCAACTCCGATGTTCCTCAATGCGTCGACATCCTCGCCGATATCCTCCAGAACTCCAAACTTGAGCCCTCTGCTATTGAACGAGAACGCGACGTCATTCTCCGTGAATCCGAGGAGGTGGAGAAGCAGCTTGACGAAGTCGTTTTCGACCACCTTCATGCTACTGCCTACGCCCACCAACCTCTCGGCCGCACTATCCTTGGACCTCGAGAGAACATCCGTGATATCACCCGAACCGAACTGGCCAACTACATCAAGAACAACTACACTGCTGACCGCATGGTTCTCGTCGGTGCTGGTGGTATTCCTCACGAGAAGCTTGTTGAGTTAGCCGAAAAGAACTTCTCTAGCCTCCCTACTTCTTCGCCTCACACTGAAGCCTACATTCTCTCTAAGAGACAACCAAACTTTATTGGATCCGAGGTTAGAATCCGGGACGACACTATCCCCTCCGCCCACATCGCCCTTGCCGTTGAGGGTGTCAGCTGGAATGATGACGACTACTTCACTGCTCTAGTTACCCAGGCCGTCGTCGGCAACTACGACAAGGCCATGGGCAGCGCACCTCATCAAGGCAACAAGCTGAGCACCTTCGTTCACCACAACGACCTTGCTAACAGCTTCATGAGCTTCTCCACAAGTTACAGCGACACTGGGTGGGCACTCCTCGATCATTTACATATTTTATTCTCTGTGCTAACTAATTCTAGTCTATGGGGTATTTACCTGGTGAGCGACCAGCTCACTCGTCTTGACGACTTGGTTCACTTCACTCTCCGAGAATGGACCCGCCTTTCTAACAACGTAACTGAATCCGAAGTCGAGCGAGCAAAGGCTCAACTGAAGGCCTCAATTCTCCTTTCTCTCGACAACACATCCGCCGTTGCAGAAGATATCGGCCGACAACTCGTCACGACCGGTCGCCGCCAAAAGCCCGGTGAGATCGAGCGTGTCATCGATCGTATTACGGAGAAGGACGTAATGGACTTTGCTCAGCGAAAAATATGGGACCAAGACGTGGCCATCAGCGCTGTCGGCAGCATTGAGGGCCTTCTCGACTACCAGAGAATCAGGAACGATATGAGCCGAAACTTCTAAACGGACGCTGATTAGGTACAGCGGCTTGAAGGGGGGGAAAATTCGGTCATAGAGTGTATCAGATAATCACGCACTTCATTGTACCATACCATAAAGATTTCTCATCTGTTAGATTCCCTCGACCGGCCCAGAAGACATTTTGTTTGTGTTATTTTACTGTCTCTGTCCTTTCATGCTAGAGTACCTAACTTATGATTGGCATTCTCGGGTTTGATATTCATGAGTTGTTAAGTGTCAGGTTTTCCTCGCGGAGACAGCGACGACAAAGATTCAAGTAAAATCTACTGATGTCCCATAAGTAACGCAAGCAAACATTCCATCGAGTTGACTGAGCTATTACGCGAAAGTATCAACTTAAGAACTTTTGTAAGACGCCGATCTTGAAATTTAATGGAAAAAAATTGGATCTTGTCGATTGTATATTCTAACTGCGCCTTCTAACGATTGAGTGTTTCTCCTCTAAATGGAAGTGTTTTTCTATGATTAGGCTATACCAGATATCCTCTCCAAGTAGGTGTGAGAGACAATCGTTTGGGAGTATGAAAACCACCATTCCAGTGTCCCAGACCAAGAGACATCAAGCCACGATGAATATTTCCCCTTATCAACGGTATCACTCGTGCTGACGACTGCCACATATGAGTCACCCCCTATTATACCCATCGCTATATGCAACTTTTCAGCTTCACCAATGATGATGGGCCTAGCTGCCCAGTCCAGGCGCATCTGACCTATACACTCTCTATGGCCGTCCTTATATCGAAGCAGCATTCCAATAATTCGCTCGCATGTGGGGTTACTATCGATGCACAAGGTGATTTCCCTAACTTCCTTCATTTTGCAGGAAGAATAAAACCATGGCTCATCAATGTTCGGCGGAGTGTCTATCGGTAAGACTGACCTTGGGATTGGGTGTGAAGTAGGAGCCACCGAGTTTTCAATGGCTATCACGGAGATATTTCCGCTGCTTAGCATTTCTGGTGCGTTGAAGAAGATCCGCGTTGGACTTGGGGGCAGCGTACGAATGAGGACAAGCCCGGTTTCTTCGTGAAGCAAAGCTGTGTGGGATCCGAAAACAGCCGTTCGTCCACGATTCGTAATGAACTAGGATGTTGAATTAGTAATTTACCTACCTAACCTAAGGTAGATAATGTCATCTGGATAATCACTGGTATACGTCTACTTACTAGTAACCCGAGAGACGTGTGCGGATGAACAAATTGGCATATCTCTTGTATAAATTCCCCTTGGTCAACAGGCATATAAAGCCAGAAAATACGGTTGATGGGTAGGCCTATGTCGCGATAGAACTCCAGGGGCATTTCAAGCCCATGCGAGTGTATTGTAGCAGGACCGAACATGTTAAGTGCAACCGAATATCCGGTCTGGGCAAATGTGTTACAGTCGAACGAGCACATCTGAATGGGTCGCGAGCCTTTGCGAAAATACGGCTGAAGGTTTCTTATGAATAATGGAGTCACTGGAGGGGGAGACAGCATCTGCCACTCAAAGTGAGGGTTGTGATTGAAGCTGGGAGCGTTAAACGAGATTAACCTCACTTTGATGCCCTAACTTATTATCAGTTACCACGAAAGAGAGCGAGCCTGGAATGATAATACTGACATCGGTTTCATATCCAATCCGCGCAACTCCGTGCTCGAGAGATATACACCTCCACCATTTTTTATGAATGTAACCGAAGGGTGCGTTAGAATGATGCATATCAGTGATCTGGCCGTCATAACCGTTGCGGGTGAATAAGATATTGCGTATACCGAGATGATCACTGGCGATATAAATTTCCTTCATCAATCTCGCCTGATTACCCTTCACAAGAAGTGTACCATTTCGGCCTGACAAAAGGCTAATATTGGAGATACTACTAATATATGCAATGCCTTCAACGAAAATATAATGTGCATACACATCGTGTGTAAGTTGAATGGCAGAATCATATATATCATATATAACAGGCGAGAGTAGTTGCTTCTGCGCTGAGATAATAGCACATTCACGAACCAGGTGCTGAGCTATCATATACCATAATTCACTAGGGAGGTATTTCGGCCACTGTTGTCTCATCAATTTCCTTACTAGCAAGTATGTTAGACGCTTATACCGCAGCCGTTCAATCACTCCTCCTAAAGGAGGTTCGTAAGCGAACTGGGTATAACTAAGGAAGGTGTCTGACATGATTTGGGTATTAAACCTGAAGCAGCCAGCATGGAAGCCGTGGGAGCTAGTTCCGTTCCATACGCACGCTCGACAACAGTACATGCAAACTATGCGATTTGTAGTTATATGGCTATGTATAATCTTACGCCGCTGGAAGGTAAATTCATACCATTGCGGATTATTTTCCGAGGAGAAGTTAACGACAGTCAACTCGCCATCTTCCAGGCTAAATTGGCAAAGTCTACATCGACCGTGTTGGATACAAATCGTGCGAGAACGCCGAGCCACGCTACTGATTGACATAGTTGAGTTTTGGTGCAGATATAATGTTGTTAGAGAGTATTCTTTGATGGCTCTGTAGCTTATATCGAGGTTGGAGTAATTCTATATAGGATGAAAGGGGCAAGCTTAAATAGTCGGCCGGTTACTCAAGAATGTCTAACACTCTTATTTATGAGACACCCTTTTAATAGTTTAAGGCTTCCTGAATCATCTATAGTATACTATAATTTTTGTTTATTGATGGAAGTTGATTCTGGATTCGGGAAGTATGTGCTCAGAATTTCCCCACATCTTAGTGAGTGAGGGACGAACCCCTGAACATAAATTCATGATTATCTCAGAAGAACGTTTTTATGTTCTATAATCATATAGTTTTTGTTGGAGAGCTAACGCTAATCAGAGAAAATAAAAGGCACCAGATAATATATCTTCACCACAGTCTGATATACCTGATCCTCATCTCCGTATCGGGCGGGACTACTCCAGCACCTGCAGAGCTCGGGCTGCTCGGGTTGTTTTGAGCAGGACGCTCAGACCGGGACCGATACCAATTCAGCTCTGCTCACTCAACGAACTCAACGTCAAACTTTGTGATAATCATCGCTATCACTAGAAGAATCTCTTGCTTTGTAAGGTTGTTACGTGGGCACATAGATCCCAGACCACCTATTATGGGAAATTCATTAACTGGTACTCGAAATGAGGATCACGCGGGGCAGCTCAAAAATAAAATAAAACTTATCATGAGGAAAGAATGACCCCGTGCGCCCGAAAATCGAATATTCCCATTAGACTTTGGATGGCTTCACATGTCAGAGGGCGGATGGTCCGGTGTCCCCCAGACGGCTTCCTCGTTGTAGGCAATCTAAGTTGGTACTTGGACCATAGACCTTTTATGCATAGTGAACCTTGTAATAGTGATATCCTCGGCGGCGGTTCGGGTTAAATTGAGGCTTAAATGGAGGTGTGGTGACTCTGTGTAGATGGATTGGATCAGAGTAATCTATGCCAGCTTCTGGATGTCAAATATGTACTTTCTAGATATGGGATGCGTGACAAACGCTTGCGAGACCTCGGCTCGTGCGGCTGGATTAGTTACGTGTCTCTAACGATTTCCATCATTGCCCAAGTGCAGATGAGAGCGGTGTTGGTATTCAAGCTGACACATTAAGCACTGTTAGAGTTAATGCTATGTTAAACTTACCCAGGAAAGAGGAACATATAGACTCCCGTTATGCTTTCTTTCGAGAAGCCGAACGATTTTGCTCATTTCCCAAGCTCCTTCGGCAGCTGTGAGTTCCATGGATTATCAAGTTTTTTTTATCTGGATTGATGCTAACCCCTTTTGATAATTCTTTCTTCACCTCATCATGCCATTTGAGGCACGTAGCGCGCATCTCCTCTCGGACCTCAAATCCCTCTTTTGTTAAGCCACCTTGGGAAACTAAAAGCAAGACTCTCGGCATAGCTATCGTGCTTACCTCACAGTCGAAATGTAAAACTTGAGTTACAGTGCATGAAACGCCTGCCAACTACTGAGCAGACAGAAGCAGCGGCTATCTCATGGCGCATGTATCCAAATATAGATAGGTACCTAAGACCACTGGCCAACTAAAAATTCGCCAAGGCTTGCATCCAACAGGTTTTAAAAAGGCACAGCAAAAACTCTTGTATATTGAGGCCTGCCAGATAGCCATTATGGACCCGAAAGTCCTCCCACGTATTCTTCAGGGAAGTTGACCCACGATGCTGAAAGATTCTACGCGAGGCTGCGATTACTTGCATACCCTAGGTACCTACGTAATTAAAAGAAAAAAGTAGAAGCCTTAGGTTCGACGACCACCGAGGGCATTCAATTTTTGAAATTTTTCTTTCAAAACATAGAACGCCTTGATCATCATATTCGCTACTATCCGCCCCGGGCACGCCCACCGCCCCGACCCCCACGTGAGTATATCCCCGTTTATGCCGCTCGAGATCCTCGTTGTAGAAGCGCATGCCGTTATATGTGCTTGGTGTACGTCCTGGTATGCCTTTGTTCGCACTGTAGGCCATTATGTCCTCCTGCGAGGCTACCGCGATGAACTGTCCGCGTTTTAGTTGGATGCCGCAGCTCAGGTTCACGTCTCTCTGCACGGCGCGCTGGTACACGAGTGCAGCGCCTGGAGCGAGTCGCGACGTTTCTTTGAGTGCTGAGTCTAGCTTGTACAGACTATCCAGAGCGGCCAAATCCCACTGCCCACCAATATCCTCATGCTTCTGTTTGATCTCTCTGCACACCTCCTCCAAGGTATCGGGATCAGCCACGAGATCAACCAGAGCTTCAGATGCGAGGTTTGCCGTGCTGTAGGTCGCACCGGCGATAACAGCGGCGCAGAGGTGGCACAAGACGTACTCGTCGCGCTCGATAGGGGTTTTGGCATCGTGCAACATCCAGGAGATCAGGTCACCTCTCGTGGATGGATCAAAGCCCTTTTCTTGTAGGCGGCAGCGCACCTCGGGGAGCACGATGCGATCCCAGGTTCTCCACCCCCTGACCAGACGCCATTTGGCGGGAAGCAACCAGACGAGAATGGGTTGGAGAAAGGAGGGCACGATACGCATACAGAACGCAAGCGTAAAAACTGTTTCATGTTAGTGACGATGGGCGATTCTTGTTGCTTTTTTTTAGCGTTAGTACTCACCATTCTTAGTATGCTCGTGACAGACCCTCACAAGCTCAGGATTATCACAAATTGGCGGCCCAAACAACGTAAATGCTAAGCATTCACTGATGCATTTTACCAGGACATCGACAGGATCTATAGAAACCCACACGCCAGGTTCCCCAGGAAAAAATTGATTTAGCCTCGCGGTCATGCGCTCAGCCATCAGCGGCGTTGCCTCGCTGATTATCGGGCTAATCCGGCCCAAGAGAGTCTTCACATGGTAGTTCGTCTTGAGAATGACGTCCATGCCGGTCAAGTGACCGAGGAGGCTGAAGCTGTGATGCTTTCTCGTATTGAGAACATCTACGGGCAGGCGGTTCAGCTCAGGGATGAAGCTGGCTGGAAATATCACATAGTTGGCATCTCCGCGCTCGAGCCGGTAGGGCTTTCCCCCTGACTGACGATGTTAACGTTAATCTTACTATCTAGGTAGATTCTTCAAAGGCGTTGCTTACCTTGTCGTACCCCCCTTGAAGGATCTCACGGGAAAATAGCGCCCAGCGAAGACGTGCGAACAACCTGGGCTCCCAGGCGAAACCCTTGTTAACAAGGAGTAACCCCTCCGTGTTAAGGTATTTCGGGTAGTTCAGGGCGAGTAAAAGCAGAGGAATAGAAAGGCAAAGTAACGTATATAGAGAGAGATGAAGTCTATTTAGAGCCGTAACAGAGGCGACTATCCAAGCTGTGTAGCTCATCTTGGTCTATGCGAATAGTTGCAAAACATAAGATAAGAATTCCAGTATTATTTCAACTCAACAAGCGTTTCGTTAGAGCACCTAATACGAGAGTACCTAATATATTAGGTACCTAAGGGAGTACATTAATGAGATCGGTACCTAAGCCAGATTCTTTAGGCATGCGCACTGAATGTACCTTATATAGTAACTCTTGACTGTGATATCTTAGGGTAGGATAGATGACCTTGAATTCTTCAGCATCGCGTGTACCACCCTCCAGATAGCCAAGATGATATGCACATACTTGTCACAGTGCGGAACATTTTCTGCATCAAGGAGGAGCAAGGACAGATAATTTCTTTCACTTACCTGCTGCTTACCTAGGTACCTTTGCTTTTCTTTTCTTAGATACCTTTGATGTTACTCTCCAGCCTGTCTTGTATAATCATTCCATCTTCTGCAAGAGGCCTTGACAGACGCCTTCATGCATGTTGGAGTGATGGGAGGATGTACCGACATCAAATCATAAGCGCCTTACTAGATCGGAAGGTCTAGATAGGGTCTAGGTATGCAGGCAGGTAGGTTGGTAAGTTGGTTGGTCAGTTGGTTGGTACCTGTTAGCGAAATCTCTGAATTCAAGAACCAGATGGTTGGCTTTTAAATCCTCTGCTCTATTAGACCTTAATTTTCTTTTTCTCCATATCTGGCAGATGCTAACTGTCGATTCCATTTCGCGCCATCATGGCGGCTTCCTTCACTAGGCGGCAGTCTGCTGCTGCGACGCACACACCCTGCTTGATCACCACGGCCTTGGTGATTGTTTCTGTTATTTTCTTGCTCTTATCCCTCGCGGCGACAGTTCTCCGGTTCAAAGCGCGAAGACTACAGCGCGCAAAGCTACTTGCGGATGATTGGTGGATGCTTGCGTCCTGGGTACTTACCTTGCAACCATTGTAATGGATCGTGATGTCTTATATGCTAATGCTCGATAAACCCTCAATATAGATTTTGACCTTCTTTTCTAGTATCAATGTTTGGGTATTCGGTTCGCTCACGGGGCTCGACTACTACAAGGTTGATCCTTTCAGAGGAACAACGTTGTCGCTTCAAGTTGGTCTATCATATCTTACGTCTTACTGAAGACCTTTCTGATTGAACCCCGTATCTGTTAGTGCTTATACGCCGCTTCCATTCTCACCCTCCTCGCCTTGACTGCGGTTAAGATTGCTGTCTTGCTTTTCTATAACCGAGTTTTCGCAACACCTAAGTTCAGGATTGCCGTCAGGACCTTGATAGTTATCCTGGTATGTTGGTGTATTACCTTCATATTCGTAAGTGGCCCCGTATATTAGTAGCAATGCACACCTGAGAATACCGCTAACTACGTCTAAACTACAGTTGACGGCTTTACAAGGTGACCCTCTCGACTCGCCATGGCAGCCCGGCACTGGAACGTTTCGGTATGACATTGCGGCTGTGGGATACGCCCAAGTTGGATCAAGCATCGCCTTAGACTTCCTCGTCTTGTGCTTTCCGCTCCCTGTCATATCGAGACTTCGCATGGCATTTACACGGAAGATATCCGTTGCGCTTATCTTTTGGCTCGGTATCTTGTTAGTTTTCCCGATACCTGTGGCAGAAGCCCCCTTTTTTGTTTCTTTTTTTCTAACTACGGTGTCATAGTTGTTGTATCGCATCAATTGTCCGACTAGTATTCCTCGTGCGGTTGCTATCAACTGTTGTTGAAGCCAAAGAATCTATTGGTACCTATATCAATTATCAATTATCCTTAGTCCAGTGCACTGTACCATAGCAGAAGCTAACTGATGGCAACACCGCTAGCAATCCAATCTAAACAATTCGTCTTCCTCATTCTTGAGCCTCACTGTTCCATCATAGCCGGTTGCCTTCCATGCTACGGATCTCTTCTCGCTAGCCTCGGCGGTCGCAGTCCCGAATCTCTCGTACGCAGCGTACGGTCCATTGTCTCCCTCCGAAGCTGGGGCTCTCGCGGTTCCGGAGGGTCTCAAGGCAACAAGGACAAGATAACTGGAAGTGGCTTACAGGTCTTAAGCTCGGCAAATAATGGCCAAACAAGCCATGATGAGAGCCAGGTTGAATTAACTAATAAATCTCAGTGGCCCGATTCCCGCCATGATGTACATGTCATTGCCAGTCCGAAGGTAGATGAAGTACCAGAGCACACGGGCAATAGTGAGAACGTGCAGACGGATCACGGGAAGAACTCGATCAATGTTACACACGGTGTTGACGTTTCGTACGTTTAAGCGTGGGGGCGTCTCCTACAAGAGTCGGATACCTGAGCACCTCTTTGAACAGTTATCCTGGTTGGTGACGTGGTTTAGGATAGAGGGTATATTTAAAACAGGTCCACATCCTATCATATATGAAGCTTAATGATCCATCATGGGTATATTCTAGTAAGACCCTATGTCTTTCCCCACAGCGGGGCATAATTCTACTGTTAAAAGGGGCAAATTGCTTTCTCCTTCTTCCTTATGAGCATACGCTGCCAGGGCGATGTGAAGAGAAACTCATGCACCATTAAGTTATTAGGTCTTTTGGACCCGGGCAGGAAATCGAACTCGTATTCTGTCAGCAGCTTGGTAAACAGGATCTTGAGAATAAGGCTGGCGAAGTGACGTCCAGGACACGCGTGTCGTCCATATCCAAAATTGAGAACGGTTCGACTCGGTGTCGAAAAGCGGAACCTTCTCCCTTCATCGCCATTGCCGTCGTCGGAAACCTGGTGTTCCAGCATGAGACGATAGTTACCCAGCCCATCGAATGCTTCGGGATTTGAAGTGTGTGCGGGGTCGTTCTCGATAGCGTAGATGGGCATCGCCGCGTACGTGCCCTTAGGGACATGCAAGCCATTCATGAAAGTGTACTCCACGAGGAAAATACGCTTCATACCCAGCGTAGTAGGCGGCGACATGCGTTGTGACTCGCTGAGCACGCTGTCGAGCTTGTACAGACTATCGTATGATGATTTACTCCACGCTTCGGAACGACTGGCGACTTCTTCGATCTCTGATTGAAGCTCTGCGGCGAGCCCGGATGCAATTACGTCGTATAAGACATTTACCATCCTCAGAAGGGTGGTGTGAACGGCCGCGAGAGCAAGGAGCACTTCCACATGGGCTATAGTGTCCGCATTGCGATCACCCCCTTTTACGGTGTCTACGAGCCAGTTGAGAATATTCGAGTCGGATTCGGAGGGCTGCACCTCCCTGGTACCCTCATCGCTCATAAGAAGTAGTTCCAGGATTCTGGGGCCGAGGAGCCTTTTTGCGTCTCGCATGTATCTCTGACCCGCCCAAAAGGAGGGGAGAAGACAGCAGATGAACGACTGCATCCACGAAGGGAAAACCCGGGTGATAATAACAGTTTTAAACACTACCACTTATGGTTAGAGTGTATGCGCGGCGTATATTATAGGGGATAGGTATCTATATGGTAATGGAAGGCTTTGTTCCAAGATGGTTGGGGAAAGGGGTATGACTTACAATTTTCAGTATACTCGACTGAGATCTCCAGCCATCTTTTATGATGGGAAAACTCAGGCGGCACGATAGCTTGCGCAGCGATTCTGGCAGATACTCGAGAAAGTGCCTTGTAAGGTTGAAACTCAACCCATTCCTGCGACTTAGGAAGAGACTCATTGCATGCTTCGTGTATTTCTCTCTCAAGGCGGGGTATCATCAAGCCAAGACGCGGCGTTAACCTCCGCTGAACAATAGTATGATGAGCCCTGCTCTCTAGGATCAAGTTTACTCCCGTGAGATGCCCTAGGAGATCATGTTCCAGGGCCCTATTTGGGCTGGCTACAGTAGTTGGCAGCGTTGCAAGCTCATCGAGGACCTCCAGTGGAAGAAGTATAACATGACCGTCGTTTCGCACAAGCTGGAAAGCCTTGTCTTTGAACTAAGATCGAGTACCTAGGTTTAGTACTGTTACTCTTTTAGGGACATGGTAGTCTTTGCTTACCTTTCGATAGCCTCGTTCGATAATATCTGCCCCTTTGGCAGCAAACAGGAGATTCAGAATAAACCGTGGTATTAATGTGGAGGAGCTACCTATGAAGGGTATATCGCGATTTTTCTTAATTGTCTTTCTAGTCATCCAGCCATCATAGATACCATAGAGAAAAAGAGCAATGAAAGGCAGAGCCCAGTAGTTATTATTCTCCATGACACCGAATAAAATTGATTCTCGTTGTAGATTATTCCCAAGGATAATTTACAGCCTTACAGACATTCATGCAAGCCCTGATTGAGAGAGCAGAGCAAGTTGTACATCGGGTTCCGTACCTCGGGAGGTAGGTGCGGGAGTTGCATTTGGAGCTTCCGAAGAAGACGGCCATAATTAGCAATAAATCAAGTAATCAGGGATACTAATTCGTGTAGTATACCTTATACCATATCCTGTTTTAGTTCGATGCAACCGTGGCAGAGGAACGTCAGATGAAGATTGCTGCACTCAACGCTAAGATACTACCTAACATATGTACATGTATGTTTGGAGTTGGACCTAGTTGTTTTCATGCATAAGGTAGTACTATAGCTATTAAGTGTAACCAACAGAATGTGGCCTCGTGCCTAAGACCATCGATATCTTTATATGAGACACTGTGCAAGGCTGTTATGTAGTACCACCCCTTACTTGAGGTAGGTTACTTGATATCCAATGCTTTTCTCTATCGGGTTCGTCTACCAACCAGGCACGCCGCATGCTTGCATACAAGTGAGGTAAGTACTGAACATACCTAAACCTACCTAAGCGCCCTCTTTTCTACATCCATCTTCCATCCTAATCTGTGCAAGTCTTTCCTCTTTTTTCTTCCTCGTCATTATTATTCATTGTTGCATATTATTAATTACGTGCTACCATGAAGCCTATTCGAATCTGGCTCATCCGTAAGTTAATCGTGGAAAGCTCGCATTATATTACCAGTTTGAACATTCAACGCTAACCTTGTTCACGACAAGCTGCCGGCCCAAACCCTTGGAAGGTCAGTCCCGCAATCGACCAATAATCTACGCAGAATAACTCTTTTGGTTCGCAGACAGCCTCTATCTGACTGAGATGTGTAGGTGGTGGTAATCTTGGAGGAACTCAACATACCCTATGAGATCACGTCAATCAAGTTTGAGGAAGTCAAGAAGAAGCCTTTCACCGACATCAACCCCAATGGTCGTGTTCCAGGTATATACCCCCTAATATTTTCACTTTACCTATTTTCTTTCTGGTGAGCAAGGGCCATTAACTCGGTAAAAGCTATCTATGACCCGAATACCGACATCACTCTTTGGGAGTCAGGCGCCATTATTCAGTACATAATAGAGCAATATGACACTGAGCACAAGCTCACGTACACTACGCTCAAGGAGAGGCATCAACTCAACCAGTGGCTTCAATTTCAAATGAGTGGCCAAGGACCGTACTACGGCGTATCTGCATGGTGAGTTCTTCAATCTAGTTGGTAATCCGATCTGGTCCATTTCAAAATCCGCCCCTGAAAGACTTACATTGCGCCTTCACAAATCCAGGTTCAACGTGCTTCACCAGGAGAAGTTGCCCTCCGCCATCGAGCGCTATAACAACCAGCTGAAACGCGTTCTCGGTGTCTTGGACGGGTGGCTTGCAACCCGGGAGTGGCTCGTGGGCGACAAGATGACGTACGCGGACCTGTCTTTCGTTCCGTGGAACGACCGTATAGACTCGGTCATTCTGTGCAAGCCGGAAGAGAAATTTGCCGGGTTCCCTCACGTGCAGGCCTGGCATGAGCGCATGGCTTCGCGCCCCGCGTGGAAGCGGTGCATGGAGGTTCGGGAGCCTTTGATGAAAGAGCAAGGTTTGCAACAAGGGACCGGAAGGCCGGCCCGGTTTAAAACCCACCAGGAATATGAAGAAGCAGTCGCAAGAGGAGAGAATACCGATCCTTGAAATGTGATCGCGTTACTGATATATCAGAGTAGAAAGATGGAAACGTCCTGGGATAGTTATGTTCGTCATCAACTGTTATTCTAGATATTTCAAATCCAGAATCAAAATAACTAACTGGAAGCTCGTATTAAAAAGGTTAATAATCAGCTGTAACAGGTAACCATACATCTCTCACATTCTACATGTATGCATGTATGGTCACTCCAATATTTACAGATATGTATCAAGTACCGTTGCAATAAAGTTACTACCACGAAACCAAATATGGCTACTAACGACGATGATTTTCTGGAGAACCAAAACATCGAAGGCCTTGCAGCGCGAGATGCAAGACTGCCTAATATGCATCAATAAAATAATGAAATCCTGACTCAGGTACTCAGTTAGGGAAGGAGTCGAGAAGCTATCTAGCGAGGCTGGATAAATGAGTGGCTCCTGGCCGTGACAGTTATAATGCGGTGTCCGTTTTTAGAATGGGCGCGCAAGTTATTTATGCGCATCTTCACCCTCATCCGTCGTAGGCGTTGATTTCTTCTTAGTGGATGTCCACTTTGTGAAGGCCACGAACACAAACGAAATGACAGGTGCTCCAGCAGGTAAATACTACGTTGTGCGCCGTCAGCATATCTTTCCTCATGGAAGGGGCTGTTATAGAGTAGATAGCTTACGAATACTTCTGTGATAGACTTCCCGTACTCTCGGATTACTGTTGGTAACAAAGAAGAGTCAACGACAGAGTTAAGGTTAGTAGCACCAGTGGAAATAATATCTTGTATAGCTTCAGGCGATACGACGGCTGACAAATTGGCCATCAGCCGCTTTTGGAATATGGTCTGTCCTACAGCTGTGAATATGGCACAGCTGGTTGAAATAATGGCGAGAAGGGTGGTTGCGCCGAGGGGTACAAGTTCCATTGGTAGGGACGCCTGCATGCCAAGATGGGCCTGACAGACGATTTATGTTAGTGTCCAACTCAACGGTGATGCGCAAGGGAGACTCTAGGATAGGAATTTGGATAGTCATATCATCACGTACGAGATTGCCAGCTAAAGAGAACCCGAAGCCAGTAAGAATCTGATAACCAATCCAATGACCACTAGAGATCTCTTGGTAAATCGTAGACAGAAGACCTCCGCCTATACACACCAACGCCTCAGCAAGTAGAAGGAATGGATTCCACCATCCCACGGCCTGTACAATCACTCCAGCGCCAACGAAGGCGGCTACCGCATCGGCAATTACGGTCGGAAAATAGTTGACACCGCTCTGAGTAGGCGAAACTCCGAGGACTGCTTGAAACCAAATGGGCAATCAATAGACAATAACTTGGAATGGGCCGTTTACGAAAAACGAGCTTGCGCAGATGAGCCAGGCGTTCCGATGTACCGTGAACAAGCGAGGGGGGATTAGAGCATCATCCTTCATGTAAATCTGCCACGCGACGAAAGTCGCAAAAGCAACGCCGCACCCTACGAACAGACCGATTATGATAGACGAGTTCCAAGCGTACGTGACGCCACCCCATTGGAGCGCAAGAAGCAGCATCGTCGTGGAACCGGCGAACAGCAAGAACCCGATTCCATCGAGGCCCCTGAGTTTATCTCCGAGAGCCAGTTTTTCGCTCGCGTCGGAATGGATACGGAAGAATAGTAAGAAGAGAAAGGCGGCGAACCCGCCAATAGGCAGGTTAATGTAGAAACACCATCGCCAGGTAGCGTGCTCGGTTAGAGCGCCGCCGATTAAGGGGCCAATGACACTCGCCACGGCGAAGGTAGAGCTGATAGTACCGGTGAAGATGGCGCGCTTTCGAAGCGGTATTATGGTAGTTGCCACGACGAAACCACCCGCGAAGATCCCTGATGCGCCTAGGCCAGCTATAGCGCGGCCTACGATAAGCGCTCTGGATGTGGGAGCTAATGCGCAGACGAGACTGCCGATCTCTAGGATACTGACGTATACTAGGTACACGATCTTCTTAGGAACAGAACGTAGGTTTTACCTGCGAGCGGTTGGGCAGAGCATCTGCAATAAATGTGAGTAGGCAAAGCAAAAAAAGAAAATGATGAGAGAGGCATAGGTAGTACATACAAGGCTAACATGAATGATGATCCATACCACCCTACATCCGTGATGGAGTTGAAGTGGTCGGTGATTATAGGAATAGCAGTTGCTATCATGTTTAGGTCCTAGGTAGTGGTCAGTTCCGCCAAAGCTCCTAGTTGTCTACGTCTCACTAGGTAGGCTAAGTCTAGATAGGGAGGGATCAAATAATACTTACAAGACCGACAAGAAATGTGAACATGCAAACTGCAGTAAATATTGGTATCAATCTAGTTCCTTTCACTTCATTCCTTGGGTCGATTGTATTTTCTTCAGCATGCTGGTTGCTTTCAGTACGGGGTTCAGCTTCCTGGTGAACGGCGATATTCTCGCCGTTCGTCTTCTTCATTTCTGCTGTCTCCAAGTCTGCCATCGTGCCTACTACGTGCTTTCAGCATACCACGTACTTGACTGAACCAGGGTAGATTAGGAGGTAGGTGTTCGGGGGGCCCAGAGAGATTTCGTCCCTCTTAAGGCTACAGGCCAAGAGTATAACGGCATTTGAATTAAAGGGGATAAACGGTTTATCAAGAATGGTAGATAGCAACGGCACAGTGTTATTATGACTGTCTCGTAAAAGCTGATGTGATGTGTCGGATGTGTTGTTGCAGAATGCGCCAACAATCCTTCCTTAAATGAAACAACGTAACTATTGGGGTACTAAGGTAGGTTAGGTAGCTATGGAATAAAGTTGCCTCCTGATTTGGAATCATGAAGCTTTCATAATTGTCTGGTATTTTGTCTTGTGGCTGTTCTTCGCTACCGATGTACTGTCACATCGAGTCTATTTGGGTGTGATATATTATTTAGGTACCTTAAGTACCCAGCGTAGTGAAAGCCATGCGTACTAGGCTCTCATAGAAAGGGTGATACTGCACTGCCTAATTATCACAGACAATAGCGGCACTTACTGAGTCAAGCATCAACCCAAGCCTAAGAACATAATTTTCTGCCTATAGTGATTCCACCTCTTTTCCAGGATCAGATTCCCATCATATGGCCTCAGGTTTTGATGACTGTCTTGTAATTGCAAAGGCGCCATGAGGACTAGGAAGGAAGCTGCAAACTCACACTATACGCTATATTGACGTTCTCCTCGTTGGTAAAACCTTTCTTGATAGGGACTAAACTTTGATAGAGGGGTATATGAAAGTATTGATCAAGGGAAGGTATTGAACAATGCAATGGAGAATGAGAGGCAGCAAAGTGCAGGTTTCGCATCGGCGCAACCTTGAGACTAGCATAGCTGTTTTCTCGCCTTGACATGTGAGATACTGGTATAAAAGGAATCATGTATAGGTGTATATTATTCTATGTCTACCTCAGGTAAGATATGTACCTCCTAAGTTAATGTCTGGATGAAAGAGATATCGCTCAAATAGAAGTATTATCCGCGGGATACTTCAGTTCCAATAGAACCGCTACTAGGTAACAAACAAACATGGAACATACAGGGTATCCGTATATACAGGCATGAATGGAGCTTTCGTCAAACTTCAACCATTTATACCGACTAATCGGGGCGTCTCAATCGTACATCTCTAGGCCTTCGCGGACTGACGGGACAGGTAATAATGCTCGGCATCCATTTCTTCCTGGACCTGTTCCCAGAGACCCTTCCGCAGCGTGCCAGAAAGCCAATAGTTACCCGCAGCATCCTTCCCGACAATCGGGAACGAGTTGCGCGTCGGCATGCCGTTGACCAGACCATTGGGCTGGACGTACGACGGGCGCCCGATCTTATTAGTCCGCTTCGCCGGGTCCGCCCCCGGACGCACCACCGCGGCCGAAAAGTCCGTGTCGAAAAACTTGGCCTTGCTCCAGTTGGAGATCATCATCGGCACCATCGTCGGGTCCCCGTACAGCGCCGTCTTCCCCTTCTTGCCAGCCGCGATGTCGATCGCCGCGCGCGCCTCCACCTGCGCTCGCGTGCCCTGCTCGGCGATGGACCGGCGCACCGACGCCGCGACGTGGCCTAGGGGCCGCGCGAACAGGTCCCGCATGGATACGAACGCCCAGACGCCGGCGACCGCGTTGCCGACGTAGGCGTGGGTCTGCGGGAGGAGGTCCTTCGAGAGCACCGAGCGCATGCCGAAGGCGTTCATGATCGACACCGTTTTTTCCGTGTGCTGGAGGTGTTGGAGGGCGAGGCGCGTGACCCAGCCCGACAGCACGTCGCCTTCGCTGACGAACGGTTTCGCCTTCTCGTCCTCGATCTCATCCGTCTGGGAGGCGAGGTAGTCGAGTGCGCCCTTATGCAGGGACCGCACGTGCGCGGCCGGGACACAGAGCATTCGCGTGTCCTCGCCGCGCGACCAGAATAAGGTTGTCCAGATGTAGGTCACGGCGAAGATCAGGGCTTGGATCGGAGACAGGCGGCGGTGAGCCAGGACGTACGGTTCTTGCGGATCTTTCCCCAGCGGTTCCAGAGGGTCTTGTAACACGCCGAGGAGCGGTTTCACGTCGTCCTCCCGGCCCTCGAGCACGGCTATCCAAGCGTCTAGGAGCTCCTTTCGCCCCATCGCGTCGAGTAGGGTGTGCGGCCACGAGAGCGACACAATCGTCGCGTCGGTAAATGATACAATGTGTAAGCTCAGCTGCGGTGCGTCAGTGTACAAGTAGTCGCTAAGCCATCGAGGGGCATCCCATCGACGCAGCAAGGGCGCAAATTCCTCCGGGTCACTCAGCACGGTGGGTTTTGCGGTGGCTCTCGGAAGACGACACCCTGTCGGATGCCTGGAGATCTCGACATCATGTTCCACATGTGAGTATGTAAACGACGGCCTCTTCTCGCTGAAGGAATCCGGAATGTGATATTCGAGTTTATTATCAGCCTATAAATGTCCTTTTAGTTGTGCTATCCTACTTTAAATAGCAGAAGGTCTCCCAGATCGGGGATGACACGGTAAGGATATTGAGCATACGTTGAGTCTCAGTCTTGCGCCCAACTTACGCCAGTCATGCCGGCTCAGAAGCTTCTCCAGCGATAGGCGCAGCTTATCGAGATCCAACACGTCATCAAATTTCATCGTAAACTCGACAATGACATTTCTGGTGATCGGTGTATCGTCGAACCGGTGCAGCGGAACAACTGTATCTGAGGATATGGTAAGCGGCGACTTAATAGCCGGCTTGCTGGAAAGTGTGTTCCCCATGCCGTGCGAGTTGTCGTTACAGCACCAGGCTGTACTGCGCACCGAAGGTCTAGACGGAGGAATGTTTGATGGGTCTAGCTAGGTACAACTTCTAAGTTGAGGTCCCTACAACCCGGGTCGTCCATGGAATAATAAATGACGGGACAAGCTGGGCCATTATAGATAGTTTGCCGGAGCTCGAAAACTAAACCGACTCTCCGGGGCAATATCCGTGCATATCAACAGCTTAGCGACCAGCTCACTTCATACCCGAGATACAGGCCATTCGCCGACGATCTGTGTCCTGTTCGGACGTCGGGTCCACAGGAATATATATCATCGTCAATAGCAACGTAACATGTTTGTGTCTCGTGCTGCATGCACGGGAAAAATCGATAGGAGATTGGTCTTTCGAGATGCTCATTGGCTCAGTTGTTGACCTTCCCCTTTTTGTGCATCGATATCTTCGAAACACTTCCAATAGACGAATTTACCACGGGCAAGGGTCACGACAACAGATTGCGTAAGTGTTGCTTGGCAGACGTGACTACCAGGGCAATGCACATATTCGGTGTTCTCTACTTCGCGCAGTGCAACGCGTTATCTCAGGTCCCGGACTGTGATATGTACATACCTGAGACACGGGAAGAGTGGCTCGTACTATATAAGATAATTTGAATGACCAGCGCCTCGCCAACGGAACACCGGAGACGATCGGCTTTGATGCCAGAAGGAGAAAGCTGCCTCACGATGTTGCCCACGTCGAGTGGTAAATCCAAGTTTCTATCAATCAATCGCAAATGCTTAAAAGGCTCGACGGAAATATCCGTAAGAGTGTGTTGGGGGCTCCTAGCATCATACGAGGGTATAAATGCATGCGCAATGTATGTAACGCATAGTCCCTTGGTCTGGTAGGTGGGACAGGGATCCTCGCGGTATTTGAGTCGTGGCTTTAACGTTATCTCGTCGATCACTTTTATTAACTGAGGTGACAATTCATTAACACAGCATCACAATTTACCGGGTACGCAGATACGCGAAACATATTAATGTTGTGTTTTCGTACCCGGATTCAATCTCAGATGTTTCCCTAGTTCTTGTTCTCTTGACTTAGGTCTAGAGCTCTGATAGGTTTCTACATCGTCAGATGCCTCTTGTTGGATTTAAAACCTTAGTTGACGATTCTGAGATGTCAGAGTGGCACACTGTCGTGAGGCCCGATAGCTACGTCTGGAAATGTCATTTCACGGAGCCACCCCCCGAAATCCCCGGGCCTCATTAGCCGGAGCTGTAAAAGCGGGTTCCCGCGACGTTCGACATCGGCCGGCATGATTGCGTCAACCTCGTTAAGCATCTGACGACGGTGGGCATCTCTCATCATTCGACGATAAGAGAGATAGAACCAAGGAAGTTTGTCTGCGGTTGGACATGACCCAAGCAAACCTGTGCCAAGCTTCATTAAAATAAAACGATGATGTAGTTGTTTGCATTGCTTGGTCTTGTCCGAAGTACCTTGCGATTTCCATCTGAAGTAAAAAGCCAGTAATACGGAACTTGGCCTCCGGATGATTTAGTATCGTCTTCATTATCTTTCTTAGGTCATTGCTGACGATCCAACTAAGTTCGGTTGAAGTCTATACAAGACCGAAGTATGTTGATGGAAACGTGGAAACACCACAAACAAGTTTCGTACCGGTGGAATAGCTACCTAGGTAGGTATACTTTTCATATTTTAGTTTCTCACCCGTAAGACTTGTCTTAAACTTCCAAGCTGTGGCGTCCTTCGATAAACGGGACGAAGTGTCCCCAGTGTCGGCTTCTAACTTCTAAGCAATGTCTCACTTAGCAGCATTGGTCCCTGACTATCTCGGATCTAGATGGATATACTAGCGAGGTCGTACATCCTATATGAGATATGAAGCTGACAAGTTATATCTCAATTTGGAGCTAGATATCTTTTCATTCGCATTCCATTAATCTGTGCCGTCCTACACCCAACGGAGCTGTCCCCGGTTCTTCATGGTTGGAAAGTTAAGTAGTAAGCCGAACGCCTTATAAGGCGGTCTAGTCTACAATTTTTACTCCCTCCTTTTCTATATTTCTACAAATAGGGATATCTCACCATGCCAATCTCAGAGTCATTTCTCTCGTTAAGTCTATCAAACGTAATTGACGACTTCACTTTGTTAATAAATCTTTCGTGTTAGCCATGAAGTAAAGTTCTCAGCGCGGCAAGTAAGTTACTATGGCCACCCACATCCGCAGTTTTGCCTACATTGCTCTTATTACGTCTATTGCCATTGCTCGTATAGAATAACAATGAATACCTGATTGAAATAACTGATAATCCCAAAACTCGATATTATCTTGACATACTAGGGTGGGATGCTGGTTAGAGGTAAGTTAAGATAGGGTGTCAAGTACTTCGTATTGTCACAAATCGTAATTGTGAATTGCCCCTCTGAAAATGCCTATACACTCTGTCAAAACCGGTTCTGGCTTGTCTACTCGGTCGAACTCAATGGTAGATCCAAGTTATTTGCTGCATCGATATTTTTCTAGGCATTTGGATGGAATTACGACCGTGACGACATGTGTCAAGTAGCGACTCAAACTGAGTAGCGTCTCGGTCTGCTTCGGCTGGAATACGAGCACAAAAGCGGCGTGGCGAAGAAACCAAAGAGAACATTGATGCTGACATTTTAGAAGCAAGTATCGTCTGTTTTGGCGACGACCGGGATAAATGCCTCGGGTTATAATAGGCCATAACTTTGGTGTGCTTCGCCGCGGGGTCGTGTGACTATAATTCTCCAAGAGTTGGGACCAATTCTGATGCCTAGAACCACGAACTTATTCCGTTAGCTTAGGTACCTATGAATGCAATGATCTACTCTTTGGACTTAGGTTAGGTACCTATACGTCTAGGAGGTAGGTACGAGAACCTGTGCCATCTCCTGCGAAGTGTTATTTGTAGCGACAGCAACACCAAACATAAGTCAAGTAAATAAGGATCTAATGATACTCCGACTCCTCAATGCGTTGATGTAAATTCAGAAATTTGCCCAGAACGTGAGAGCTACGCCTGGTCGTTATTGTACGATATTCTACCTGCTTTAGACATTATAGCTAAGCAAGTACTATGGGGGGGGAGGGACGTATGTCCCGTATATCAATAAATAGTCTGGATATGTCAGAGTATGTATTTCCCTCCGATATACATCGGTAACGTTGAATGCCTAGATAATCAACGCATTTGGGCTATGAGTAGGCTCGTCGAAATGAGGAACGACAGCTGTTCTCTTGCAGACAGGATCGCAAGATTGGCCAATTAGGTCCAAACACGCGCGGAACACATCCTATGCGACAGGAATTCAGAGACGGCTCTTCGGCCGTCGCCTCGAAACATTGCATCGTTGTGAAAAGCCCCATCTACAGCTTTCCTTGTTACAGGTAGCTGGACGTCTAAACATCGGTCGTAAAGCATTTGACTCAGTTCTTTAGGAACCAGCTCGTCCTTAGCTGCTTCTAAAATAAATACTTCTGGAAGAGACTTGTTAGTTTCATACTTCCTTGATATGATTTCCAGGTTCTTCCAGCTATCAAGGTGGTTTCGCAGAAAAGGCCAGAGGTATCGATATGGTAACCACTTTTGCGGGTAGAGGACCTCTAACATGGCGCGGATCGAGGTAAATGGGGTTTCTAGGACCAAGGAATCCAAATGCACGTTTGCAGGCATTGCAGATTCGGCTGCGAGGTTCGTTGCTACACCCGCTCCAATGCTTTGGCCCCAGAGGACGACGTTTGCCGAGGGTCTCGACCCTTGGGCTTCTCCGCCGTAAGAATTACGATGCAGCTGAGAAATCCAGCTAAGGGCGGCGGCAGCATCCATATTGAGACCCTTTTCGGTAGGACGGCCTCTCGAAGTCCAATAGCCCCTATAGCTAAGACATGCAGTTGTGCATCGGATTTTTCGATCATCCCATTGTGACGAGCGTCTCTTTAGCATGCAGAGGACCGATGAAAGGTCGGGTAAGCGAGGGGGGATGGACGAGGCGTTCCCTATCGTCAATCGTGAGCTGATCTCGATCTCTACCCCACAGAAGCAGAAATGCAATGCAGACCCTGGAAATAGAGTATGTAAAATGCGACGCTTGGTTCCGTAGACGTCGCACCAGAACCAAGTTCCATATCCGTAATACACAGAGCAAGATCTGTCCCGTCAGCTGCGCGGATCCTTTCTTCCCGCCACTTAATGCCGGCACACCGGCTGGCGTGATCTTCGATCTTCTCCCAACGCGCATTGGGTGGCAGGCCTGGCATGTATATGATCTTATTCTGAAAGGTGACCAACATCAAACACTTCCAGGTCCACAATGCGACGAATAAGCCGCTGAACACTACAGGAGCGAGCACCAGACCTTCGACGTGGTACATTCTCCTGCATGTAAGTGCGTTGTTGATGCGGGGTGTCGTGGAATACCGTGATGGGAGAATGGCCGACTTTGGGATACCTCGAATGGAGAACCGGGAAAGACGATGAATAATGAAGGGTACGAAGGGCATCGTGATTGGGGGCTCGCGATCAATGGTTGAATGGGGGTTTCTTATTATTCTCCTTCTTTATGCGGGGTGAAGAGACGCGCGAAATATGCGAGTGGACGGTTGTTTACGACGATGCATGTCTCGACATTAAAAATGGTGTGGTTTGAGCTGCAGGAGAACAAAAAGAGGGAATAATTCTCGATCGTTGAATTGCTATACGTCCTTTTTCGAAATATGGGATTTTGGGTTGGGATATGGAGGAAAAGTTGGAGAATTTCGACTCCTCGATTTATTAATTTTTTTTTTCTTGGGAATGACGATGTTTACAGGTAAATAGATGGGAGGATGGATGTCATCACTTTTTCCATAAAAAAAGGCTTGTGCCCCGCCTATTATTTCCCAATGGCTTCCCAATTGCTTCCCAATTGCTTTCCAGAGCCCTTTTACATCTTCCAACCAATTGAACCAGCTACTCAAGGTGCATGTAGGTACCTTAACTTAATCTACCTCCTACGTGCTAAATATACGGTAGCGCAAGCATTCAGGTAAGTACTTATAGGTACCTAATAAGGCACTATTAATTCCCATTACCTACACCCAGCCCAACCAAAGCAACAATTCCCTCGTCCCAGCGTCCCTTAACAACCCAAGCATCGTCGTCATCAAGGGACCCTGCAGTCTAGGTACAGTGCTTGCACGTGGTACATGCCGATATGGACCGTACCTAATGGGCCGTAATGGGGAACAATACCCCCCGCTCCCGGCAATGGGCAGCATAAGCTAACTAAACTTAAAAATCTAGAACACTATTGGACCGATTCTTCTATTACCGGTGGATCGATACAACGATACAACGATACAACGGTACAAACATCCCTTCACAAAAAACACAAAAACCACGCTAGCGCAAGTACCTAAACTCTACATGCGAATTTCCGCCATCATGTCTCCAAACATTCTACAACTTTCTTCCTTCCTAGCGTGCCCATCTCCGAGTCCGCGATTTTTTATTTTTCGTCCTTCCTCGCAAGTCACTACCAAATCCTACAAGATGCCTGGTCAATTAAACGGCGATGCGAGTCACGAACCGCCCACCCAACACCATATCGAAGTGATTGAAGACGAGACCCGTTCGGAGCGGGGAGACGGCCAACCCAGTCCCGGTTTAAGGGACAGCAAAGGCTGGGACGGTAAACTACGGGTCGACCGAAACACCCTGTTTAAGAACCCCGAAGCTCTCTCGGATCCCGAATATTCAGATGATGAAAATGTGCTTCCGGGGCAAGAGATAGGTGCAGATGAAGGTAAGTTTGTTTAAACCTCCCCCTCCCCCCTCCCCCTTGCCCCTAAGTCTTTTGTCGGCACGTTGGTTTGATGTCATTCTTTCACTAACTAACCTCTTGGTGTAGACCTCCTAGATGACGAAGACCCCGATACGGATGATATCAGTCTTTCACATTCGCGCATCTCTTCTATCTCTGCTCTTCGCTTGGAACGGTTTAAGAAAGTCGTACGACTATGTCTACGCCAAAACCTCGTCCAGCACATCGAGGGGTTGTCCGAATTAGGCCCCACTTTAGAGGAACTTGACCTATACGACAACCTCATTTCACACGTCAGGGGCTTGGATGACTTGACTAAGCTCACAACCCTAGACCTCAGCTTCAACAAGATCAAACATATCAAACATATCGAACACCTAACCGAGCTCACCGACCTTTTCTTCGTATCCAACAAGATTAGTACCATTGACGGATTGTCGACTTTAACAAAACTCCGTCAGCTTGAGTTGGGTTCGAATAGGATAAGGGAGATCAAGAATCTTGATGCCTTGAAGAACCTGGAGGAGCTCTGGCTAGCGAAGAACAAAATCACCGAGCTCAAAGGCTTAGCTGGCTTGCCCAAATTAAGACTGCTAAGCATCCAATCGAATAGAATCAAAGACCTTTCTCCTCTTCGCGAAGTCCCCCAGCTGGAAGAGTTATATATATCCCATAATGCCCTCGAAAGCCTCGACGGTTTAGATGGAAATCCCAATCTGACCATCATCGACATCTCAAATAACGCAATCACGAGCCTAAAAGGCCTTGGTAATCTGAAGAACATTGAAGAAGTATGGGCAAGCTATAACCAGCTCTCTGATTTCGCAGATGTTGAGCGGGAGTTGGCCGACAAGGAGAATTTAACAACGGTGTATTTCGAGGGAAATCCTTTGCAGCTGAAACAGCCTGCTTTGTACCGGAATAAGGTGCGGCTGGCGCTACCGCAAGTCCAGCAGATTGATGCCAGTAAGTCACCCACCGTACCGTTAAATAAACTATTCAAGACTAACTCTGGGATGAATAGCCTTTGTGAAGACGGTCTAGTTGCAAGTCAACTTCCGTGCAGCAGATTTTTTTCAAAAAAAATATATGGTTTTTCGTATTGCATAGCATGGCGTTCAGGAGGGTTCCACCACGATGGGTTGCTTTGGGATGGAGCGAAAATTAGCTTTCCTTCAATTATCTGATCAAGTCTCTTTAGGATCAATTTAGGATGGGTTGCACGTTTAGGAGCAGGCAGACTTGATGTTTTCAAGTTGCAATTGTTTGAATCAACAAAACTGGACAAACAGTGCTCGGCACTGTGTATTCATGTCAAATATGACTGTAGTCACACGCAAATGGGGATTACAAGTCGCACAACGTATTCGTTCCCTATAGTATTGATATCACACTACAGATCAGAAAGGTCTAGTCTACTTTGAGACCGTTCTAGCTAAATAACTCCCATGACCATAACAGACTTTATACCAGTAACAACAATCGTCAACGCAATCGCCGAATATCATCTATCAGCCTGCTTAAATATGGTTACGTCGGGCAGCTCAAACCCAGAATGCAACACAACCCGCTAACCAGTCCCCCGGTACATAGGTATTTAACCAAAAATCCACATCTTATCCGTGGAGAAGTACTAAACAAATATGGAAGTTAGTGTATGGCTGGCAAAATCAGGAAATCGAAAATGTCTAAAAGACATAATGAAGGGGTGAATAAAATTCATCAATCGCTTACATTTGAAGGCTGGTTGAAACGGATACCCGCATCTTTAGACGTGATGCTGTCGATATCAGCCTGCTCAAGATCGAATCCGGTGCAATCCAAATTTTGGGCCATGATCTCAGGGCGAACTGTCTTGGGAATGACGGCAAGGCCACGCTGAGTAGCCCATCGGAGCAGGATTTGCGAGGGCTCCTTGTCGTACTTCTCGGACAAGGCGGTGATCAGGTCGTCCTTCATTAAGGGAACAAGAGCCTGAGCGTGCTTGAACCCGAACTCGAGGAAAGAAGCAGGGCCAAAGGAGGAGTAGGCTGTAACAGCTATACCCTCAGCCTTGCAAAGGTTCAGAAGCTCTTGTTGCACCAAGTACGGGTGGTGTTCGATCTGAAGCGCAGCTGGAGGAATGGTTGCGTATCGTAACATGTCGTAAATGAGCTGTGCCTGGAAGTTTGACACACCGATCGATCTGGTCAACCCCTTTCTCACCAGACCCTCCATGGAAGCCCACGTTACGTGCGTCGGGGTGTTGGAGCGGACGATTGTGGACTCGCCGTCGTAGTGCCATCCCGGAGGATACCGCACGGCCGGGTCGACGTACTTGAGAGCACCGGGGAAGTGGATCAGGTATAAATCGAAGTACTCAAGACCCCAGTCGGCTAGGGAGCGCCTGCAGGCGGGCTCTACCTTGTCCCCATCCTCGAAGACAGGCCATAGCTTAGATGTGATGAAGAGATCCTCCCTTTTCACAATTCCTTCCTTAATTGCACGTGCTATACCTTCGCCACATTCTTTCTCGTTTCCATAATCTAAGGTCGCAGAAGCAAGCACGTTAGCAACCCATAGTAAAATTCCCAGCAAGCTTTATTGGATTAGGTAGGAGGTAGCCAAACATACAACCGCTTCCCCTATAAATTAGCACATGGGATGCAGGCAAGGGGTACCCCTGACTGAAAGATGCTGGGCAGCGGGGTAATAGTACCCGAGGAGGGGCTCTTATTACTTTCAAGAGCTCTTTGCGTGCCAACCTCGCGATGATTAGGAAAAGGTTAATGGATTAGACGTACCGCATGCACCATCAAATAACCGGTAGCCAGTCTTGATAGCATTGTAAACAGTATCGGCGGCAGTAGAGTTGTCAACCTTCCACAGACCGAAGCCCACCTGAGGCATCTCATAACCGCTGTTCAGCTTGATAGTTGGAGCCATTGTCGTCGACTTTATACTAAAGGAACGGCAAGCACTTGTCGTCCGGTAACAGTTCGATATCACGGGGGTCTTTAGGGGCGAAGCGAAGCGATAGGAGAGTAGAAGAGAACTACGAGGAGAAAGAATCGTAATAGCAGATCGCATGATTTTCACAGGATGCCGTTGACGGGAGCAAGTCTTTTATACACTTTTCAGTTCCCACCGCGAGAGTAAATAATAGGTAACTACCCTGTTAACTAACTACCTCGCTATATAGCGTGTCTTACCACCCGCATTCACATTCATTATGTGGGGATATGCGCTTGTTAAAAAACACGCTCGCCAAAGGAGGTACACAATGGTCTGACCGTATCTCGCCGAACAAACCCTATACATGACAATACTATCGTGGGCTTATGACTTAACTGATTGGTGTGGATAATAGCCTCCTCACGATGGGACAAACTCTGTCCTCCGCAGGAAGAAGATGGGGGGACATTAGAGGACCGCTCATTTGCTCGTTTAAACTTAGGAGATTGTGGCCAGAGTTTGACGGCCGCTGATGATCCAATACGTTGCTCTGAGGGGGTGCAAAGCCAGACGAAGGGAGAGGGGGGGGTTAATGCGGGTATAAGTCCCAGCTACCTAGCATAGTAGAAAAAAGCTCGCTAGGAACAAGACCGACGAGATGCAGTTCGACGCTATCTCGCAAAAGCCCCCCAACTTACCTCGTAGAATCATGATATAGCTTTGAAGCGCAACTCTGTGATTCGCTTGGGAGAATGATTTTGCCGAGACCCGACTTTGTTTTGCCTTACCCGTCTTCGATTCGTCGATTGGAATATCCTCATTCCTGTGTAATTTAGCCTGAATATCACAGCGTGGATACTAAGGGGGGGAGGGACTGGTCCACTACGGCTAATTCCCTAATATTATCTCTTCAAATCTCTTCTCACCTCCCATTATGACCTCGTCTCAACTTTAACCTGGTGGTTGACTTACTACCTACCTACATGTACTTAACTACGTCGCATTCATCCCACTCTTTTTTTTTTTTTTTTGGAAAGAGAGGATCTCCTCTCTTTTTGCCCTTCAATTTCCCACACCATACCTGAGATAAGCAATGAGTGCCATGGGTTCGATGTAACAAGAATCGAACATTTATTTATTCAAACCAATCGGGGAGCAGTCGTTTTGGAATCGTTGCCCTTGTAGATCGGCCTTGGCGATCTCGTATATGACATGCAGATCTTTAACTCTGCGGCTCCCAACGCGCACAGATACTATGTATGTACCTACTTTCGCAGACATTATCCCAAGCAATCAATGCCTAGCATAGATGCACACATATCAGGTATCTATTAAGGACTTGACTAAGATTATGTACTCCGATCTTTGTCAATAACAGTAACTTGGCTGAAAAGTTCAGCACAAACCGTTTTAAGTGCGGGCAGTTTTTACGTGGTAAGGGGGCCCATTCACCTGTTCACGTTGCCCTCATTCTAATTAATTATAATTGTAGTTATGCTATAATCAGACTACCTTAGGTAAGGTTAGGTAGGTAGGTAGGTAGCTTTGGAAGCTTTGGAGATCACTTTGATATTCTCATCAATCATAATGAAGAGATATTCCTATATCCCCTTATTATTGTCTAACTTTACAATTCTTAGCTCATCTTAAACGTCGATTGTTATCAAGTATTCTTTTTCTGGGTATTTATTTCAAGTAGCTTTGATTGTTGAAAGGCATTTTTCCGAAAACGATATCTAAGGTTCTTTATCAGGCTTACCTTCGCATAATATTCCAATTGTTTCTTTCTAGGTCTCGTTAGTTCTTTGTTCGAGAAGAGTAAAGTCCTTCTTCGCCTCGCATACCATCTTTGATGTTCTGCGACCAAATTATTTCAAAACTTTGTATAACTAACGACGCCATAATCGTCCACCAATATATGGCAAATACAGAGAGACCCATACATAGGTAGAGACGCGCGCGGTAAAATACCGATATCTAGCAACAATGAGTAACTCGAGTCGTCCCCAAAACCCGCCATATGGCAGTAATCAGCTTCTGAGTAAGACGGTATGGAGAATAGAAGGCAGAGGATAGAGGCTAATTCTGACATTTACTTTAGGGCGACTTCACAGAATCCATGCAGTAAAAAGTCGATCGGGTAACAACGAAGGCTTTCAACGCGCCCGTAAATCGCTCAAACAACTCAGGGGGAACTTCGAGAGGTACTACCCCGGACAATTCACGTACCAAAGGACACTCGGCTACGGGGGCTTTGGTCTTGCTACATTAGTACGTAACTTGAAAGAAAGAAAACGGTTAACAATCCTTACCCCTTTTCTCCCTGCGCTTGGTAACTATATTGAAATTAAATAAGCTTAGCCGTTGATGGAAGCTTTTAAATTGGATCTAATCTCCCTTTCCTATTCCTATTTTCCTTCAAGGAGCATATATATATAAAGGTTACAAGGGGTAGACAAGAGTATCATATGACTGACGATCAATAATACAGTGGAAAGTGAAGACTCAACGGGGCCGAATCCTTGATGTTGCTGTCAAGTCGAGTCTCGGCAGTAATAGCAGACATAACGACGATGAACTAAGAAACGAGATCAACATTCAGGGTGTAGGTAATCGTTACCCTTTGGTCGGCTTAATTAGTAACTTTGAATAGGAAATACTCAAAGGCGCGGAACATATCGTCCAACTCGAAGATGTTGAAGAAAATCTTCTTGATGATTACAAGCTATACAATAATTTTGATGCAGATGTACCGGTCATGATAATGGAAGTCTTAGAGAAATCCACTCTTTCAGAGCTTATAGACAGGATCAACAAAGGAAGGCTTGAGAATAGGCGAATACTTAGAGATGCCAGAAGAGCCGGGGTAGAAGCCGACAGGAGCGAGCTGCAACTTGGATATATTCCAAACCGGATACTATGGAGATTATTCTTGTGCTGTAAGCCTAAGTATCAACTTGACAATTAACTGAACGATTACTTAAAGTAAGTATCTAGTGGTGAGAGGCATTGTTGGTATGGCGTACGGGCCTCCTCCCTTTGGTCCCAACTACCAAACAGGAGATAAATATCGCGAGACTATACAAGATCGGCCCCCGAAGCATCTACTTCACATGGATCTCGACATATATAATGGTTAGAAGCCTTAGAATTACATTTCCTTAAATCGGTATAGCTAGGTACCTAATTATTGCAAACAGTCCTTTTAGGCGACATCCGATTCAACCAACATGACGACGAGCACTCCTTCTCCCCTACAATAAAGGTCAGTACTCAATCAAACACTTATACTATTTTCTATTGTAAACTGACATTATCTGTAGATAGCCGACTTTGGAATTGCCATAGAATTGCATCCTTATTTACCAGCTGCACAGTACGGGGGTCCTTTTTAGCAACTTCTCCCCTTCCTGTGTGCCCTGATTATGAAGAACAGCGTTCTAATTCTAACCCGTGCTCTAGGAAAGCACAACTTGTACGGAAGGGGAAAAGGAATTTCTTTGCGCCAGTAAGTTATTCAACCTTGGTTAGAACTAGATAGATGGAAGCTTATATTAAAACAAGGAACAAAGAGACCTCGTGAGGTCCTCGATTGATCCTGAAGCCATAGGAATGCCGATCAATGTATGGGCTGTAGGTCTAGTACGTATACTTCTCTCCACAACGAATAGGTTCAGTAATAACTTAGAATTATCGCATAGGTAATGTTGAACCTTTTGACTTTAGCTCAGCCGGAAAATCACTCCTGGAATGCCAGAGTAAGAACATATCCCGCCCCAACCCACCGGGACCCCAATTATCGACTGAGATTTGTTACCTGGGGCTGGTTCCTCATCGACGACGAGGAGCATCATCCAAGCCCATTCATTAGCGCATTCGACCCGGAACTTCGCTTGCTGATAGCACGCTGCTTGGAGACGTATGGTCCGAGACGTCCAACGCTGGAGGAACTTCTCGTGGTAATACTGAGAAACATCAGACTCGGATGCCAAGCATAATGCACTAGCAGAGGCTAAAATTGCCCCCGAAGAAGGTGAATATAGACAACGCCTTATAGCTGAGGAACAGAGGCTAGCCGAAGCCGAAGCCGCGAGCTTTTCGTCCCGGTCTGGTGCTTCTGCTCAACGCGGGGTTTCTGATACATATTCTGCTACTCCCATAAAACCGGGCCTCGTGACCGCGGACGAGTGGGTAATGCAGCTCGGTACTGGAACAAATCTGACTATTCGGCCTAAGCGACAAACCAACGACCGACCCACGAGACGCTTTGCTACCCCGGGCAAGATAGATCTACAGAACGTCCCCCTAATATCTCTTCCTTCTACCGACCCATGGGAAACGGTGAAAAAAGTTCCCATGCCACCAGGATACGACCCCACCCATCCAGTGAACCTAAACTGGCCTCTGGAACCGCCGACCCCGGGATTCCAAGGCATCCCTTCCCCTGTTTTCGAGCCTCTACAGCCGCAGCCTCCGCGGAACTCGGCTACAAGGCATATTTCGCGCAACGAGTACCGGCCGCTAACGGAGTTCCAGGCGGCGCCGGAGCTCGAGGACGCGGATCTGATCACCAAATTCTACGACGACCACATACGCAACCCGCCTCGGAAGGTCGACCCGTACGAGAAGCTGTGGCTAGCGGACAGCCAGCAGCAGCAGCAGTCCAGCGAGCAGGACAACAACCTACGGATGTTTGGCCCCAGTAGGCGAGGGACCATGGTCCGGGTGTCGAGCCGGAGTCGTAGCCCTCGTCAGGTTCCTGTTGCTCCTATACGTCAGCGATCTTCACACCAGCGCTCTGGGGCGCCATCGCCCCCGTCAAGAAGAAGGTTTGCTCCTCGGGATAGGAGCCGCTCGGGGCCCGAGTACGTGGGCTAGTCCGCGGGAAGGGGGAGGGTTTGCACCGTTGTACAATACACAATACACTTTGTCAATCGTTGTCTTTCTGTTTACTCTAATTAATAATATTCATGTATCTATCTACATATCATTCGATTAGACGTGGCGTTAAGGGAAAATGTATGAATAAATTTGGAGTCTTTCATACGAGAATTACCTTGATGTCGTATGTCACGGAGAGACTGAATGCGAACTTTTTTTTTATAAAAAAAAAAAAGAACCCAATGTGAATACGAGTCAATAAAGCGCTATAAACATGTTAGCAATACGTTAGGTAGGTATGTAACCGATAAGGGAGCATAAACCCGGGGTATATATTTCTACTCCAATCGTAACTATTCTCCGAAATCTTCTTTTCCGTGACAGGCTCGTTTCCAAATAGATATCCGTCCAATACCACCAGGAGTAGCAGCAAGACGTATTTATATCAGCACCTACTTTCTATACCCCCTGTGCCTTTCCCTCTCCTTCCCTTTCTCCTTTCCCTTCGGATACTCCTCCTCGTGATCATCATCATCATGATCATTTCTCTTCTCCGTAACTACTAACCACAACGTCCCAGCGCCCAACTCCAGCGTCAAAGGCGTCCGTATCTCGAGGTCCGCGATATACCGCGCCGCCAGAGCCGCGAGCTGGGCGGGCGCGCTGGAGTCGCGCGCCCGCCGCGCCGTCCGCAGCACCTCGTCGGCGGACAGGCCGCCGAGGACGTCGCGGGCGAGCTCCGCCGTGTCCAGCAGCAGGGAGTGCAGCCCGCGGCGGTGCAGCCACTTGACGTTGGCGGCGGCGGCGTACGCGCGGGCGCGCTCCTTGGGCGTCTTCGGCTCCCTGCCGACGGCGTCGAGGGCCGCGAACGGCAGGGAGACGGCGGCGCCGGCGGCGCGTAGCGCGGTGGCCACCGGGATGCCGATGGTGGCGCCCACGACGCGGACCGCCGCCCCCACGACGTTGCCGGACTTGGCGGACTCCTTGATGTCGCGGCCCGAGTGCTTGATGTGCTCCATCGTCTCCTTGCCGAAGCGCCGGGGAACGTCGCCCACGTGCTGCGCCATGTCCCCGGCGTGGCTGATGGCCTTCTGGGACACGGTTGCCGTCAGGAACCCGGTTAGCGTGCGGAGGAAGCCGAGCCAGGCGTCTCGCGGGATTCCGTGGCGGAGAACTAAGGGCGCGAAGGCTTCTAGAAAAGGAGAGGTGGCGGTTGGGTTGAGTTGGGGGATTGCGATGGGACGATGATCGTTGGTGATGGTGGAGGTTGGCGAAAGTGTGTATGATGATAGTTGTTCGCTATCGGAAGGGAAGTTGAAAGGGGATTTAGCTGTCGGTATTGTTGCTGGCACCGATGCTGGCAACTCTGCCGGCATTGCTCCTGGTAACTCCGCTGGCATCTCTGCCGGTAATTCTGCCGGAGTCGACATGGGAATGAATTCTGGATTATATATTATATCTAAAATGCTGAATTGTTTTTTAGATTAATTATAAATTCCTTTCTAGATAGTATATGAGTACCTTCTAAGGGGACTTTTCCTATGAGAAAGATATCAGCACCAAAGGTATTAAAAACAAATTCCTGACATAGAACGAAACTACAGTATTAAAAGTCCATGATTTCCGCCATGCTGCTGTGCCGCTCAAGAGGTGGGGGTTAGCTACGCGTCGGGAGACGTCTAAAAGCTCAGCTGGTAGGGGATTAAAAATAAATAACGAGAACGAGAACGAAAACAGTGGAGATATATTTGTTGAGTAAAAATAGTTTAATTGGGTATGAAATAGTGTCTAAACAACGAGTTTGGATGCTTAACCGATACAGCTAAGCCGCCACGCGACGATAGGGCTGAGCGATCATCTTGTCTTGAAGTATGTGAATCCGCCGTAGGCCAACGCATCATCATGACTTTCCAATGACTTTTCAACAAACAAGTGTCATATTATCATATCATACCATATATCTTCGTGTAGCCTCATTGTTATAAAGCCCTTGATCCCGTCAATTTATACCATTCTCAAAGAAATGCCCTCAGCAGACCCCCTGTCCTAAGAGGATAATACAAATTAGGAGGTGGTTTAGTCAAGACGTTATTGAACTAATCAATGTTAACCGCAACTCTAAGGCTATGCACCTCCATGAGTATTTATACCTGTAAACAATTCAAGTTTTTATTTTTGTATTAAGGGAAGTTCCCACACATTTACTAGTCATCGGCAAGCCGAGTTTAACCAAGACTACTAGACGTTAAAGAATATCAACATGTGGCTTGCCAACACTATCCGTCATCAGACTCAAACACGTGAGAGCTGATTGGAGGCTTCCCGGCAATTCCGTAAGGTAGTACGGCTGTGTGGCATTCAGATGAAGTGCAACCGACGATCATTGCAAAGGCGCGTCATGTAATGGGATAAGGTAGTCTCCCGCCCTATCCAACCCAAGGCCCCCTTTGGTCAGTTTTATAGCTTCGGCTGTTCTTGTTTCATGTCTTTAGGGGGTGTCGTACATAGCACGTTATCATTGATGTGACCCGGCTTTACTATCTCTTTACCCCTGGGAACCTGGGGTAACGTTCATATGGACTTTCTATAATAGGCAGCTCAGAGCCGCCTCGATCCACTCGACCCCGGACTTTCTTAATTACCATACCCTCTATACGCTACCTACCATATAGTTACACAACATAACAATGCCGATCATAGAGGGGTATTACATATAGAACGGGGGGGGGGGGGGGGGGGGGAAAAAAATGCGATTAACGATTTAAAGTTAGCAATAAGGGGGGTTTTTTTGGGTGATTTTGACAGTTGCGGATATGGGGTAAGCGACATGTGCCGGTT